CGGGCAATCGGAGAAGATGGCGGCGGGCCAGTCGGAGAGGAGCGACGGTGGTGTTCGCCGGATCTCCCGCCTCTTCTTCGGCCGGAGAAGAGAGAGAAGAAAAAAAAAAAAAACTGAAATCAAGAATGAAGAAAGAAGAAGAAGAAACCGAAAATGAAAACAAGAAAACGAAAACGGCTTTTTTCCGTTTTCAAAATTCCGGAAAACGACAAAGCCATTTTCGTTTTTGTTTTCTGATACAAATTTTGCCAAATACGTTTTTTATCTCCGTTTTCAATTTTTTTACATCAAAAAATGTGAGAAACGAAAATGAAAATGCTACTAAACAGACCCTTCTTGTTATAAGTATTACAGTGGAAATTTTTACGAAGGAAACAATAATATATATATATATATATATAAATCTATGTATGTATATGTGTATGTGTATGTGTGTGAATGATGGGAAGAATGTTTTGTTTCATAATTTTTACGCAGATTTTGTGCTCTACTGCAAATAGCGCATCCATTTCTTAAGTAAGTTTCCAGTTTTTTGTCCCACATCGACCAGGGAGTACGGAGTGTTAGAGGACGAGAGCTATAAAATACAACTTAAGAACAGAGAATAGGCATACCTTTCTCGGCCTTTTGGCTAAGATCAAGTGTAGTATCTGTTCTTATCAGTTTAATATCTGATACGTGGGCTATAAGTCCACATGATATTAAATTAATTTTTTGAGGGGGAGAGCCCATCACAATAGCTTGCTATTGGGGTTCTCGAGCGTCGCCCATGCGTTGCACTATTGCACGGGCTTGGCGCACCCCACCCAAAGCTAGTTTAATAATTTTAGGGCCCAAAATGCACAATTGAAGTCTTGAGTTTTTATGAGGTCTTCGTTAATTCTCATCAAAGCTACAAAATATATGCTAAACATGTTTGTCAAACGCGGCACAAAAATGAGGGCTCGATCGTTTAAGTCACTGATTCGTGAAGTTATTTGAGGAGTTTTAGGGGTTTTTTTTACGACAAAATTCAAAAAAAATTGAGTTAAATTAAAGGTATATTTTTTAAGTTTTAATTTTATTTAATTTTACTTAATTTTTAATTCAAGTTATAATTTAAATTTAATTTAAAAATTACACTCAAAACAGACGTTTTAATTCGTCAAACGTCAAAAGTGAGTTGAGTTAAAGTTATTGTTATTTGAGTGAGTAATTTACTGTCGTTATTCAAGCGAGTAATTTGCTGTTATTCAAGCGAGTTGAGTTAAAGTTATTTAAGCTAGTAGTTCGTTAGTTCGTTTAGTTTTAATTCGCTGATTTGAGCGATTTGAGTTAAAAATTATTGAGATTAAAGTTAGATTCACTAATTTGAGTGAGTTGAGGTTAAAGTTAGATGTAATTTTATGTGAGGTTTTTTTATTATAGTAAAAAAGTTAAGTTAGATAGGATTTTATGGTATATTTTTTTATTATAATAAAAAAGTTAAAAATTAGATGTGATTGTTTCTGAGAGTTTTTTATTGTAGTAAAATTTAAATTATAAACTCGAATCGATAAAATAAATGGGTCATAGTTACATATATTATATATACACGTATATTCCACAAAAAGAACCGTGTATTTCCAAAATTGCGGTAAAATATGTAGAAACGGGGGGCAATAAAAAATCAAAGACACAGTATTGGCTATAATGTTCTGGACAATCCACTTAAATTTGAAAGTAAAATTTTTGACAAGCAATCCTATATATAACAAACACACATTTGTAGTAAAATGCGGTGATTTGAACGATGACAATTCAACAAATATATTACTCACTTGACTATAGTGAGGTCAAATTTCTGAGTATTCGTGCAGTTAATAAAAATCATTAATGTAATTATATTTTTGATAGAACGGATATTCACACTATTGATGCATTATTTATTTATTTTTTAAATGATAGCTGTTGTACTTTTGTAAATCTTACATTTTGCGTTATGCATTTTAAGAAATATAGCAAACATTTCCGTTTAGTTCACAGATTCAAGTTTTTAATTTAAATTAAGATATAATTTTATGTGAGTTTTTTTACTGTAGTAAACAAATTAGATGTGATTATTTTTTAGAATTTTTTATTATAACAAAACTCGATTGATAAAATGAACAGAATAAACTTCCACAATATGGTATGAGAAATATATATTTGATTACAATTGGCTTACATTTTTCTTTTTGGCTAACTATGCTAAAGGTACGGCTTGCATTGTTCAACCCATGAGGTCTATATTAAGGCATTACTCCTTTTTTTTTTTTTTTTTTTTTTAATTAGCCATGGGTGTAAATTGTAAAATACAATAATTTAGCATGCCATATATTAGGTAATACCTAGACTGGGTGTTGGGTAGTAATCAACAAAATGATTGTTTGATAGTCTTATATACATATATATTTAAAAAATTACAGAATTTATATGATTGTTTGATAATCTTATATACAAAATTACAAAATTTATTTTTAAAAGTGTATGAGTTTAGATTTTTATCTTTCATTCTTGATTTTTTTTTTTTTAGGAAATTGAGGGAAATTGGTTTTGAGTCTTTTGAAAGGAAGTAGTTTTGATTTTGTGTGAAATTTTGGTCATTGGTTTGTATATTATTAGAATTGTTATTTGTTAAAATTGTTTGATGTTCATAATTTGTTATCTGTTGAAATTTAGTATAATTATAATGTTTTTTTTTGCTAATCAGTATAATTATAGTGTTTATAAAATAGGTTTTAATTTTTGAGATTATTTTGATATGTTTTTATCAGTAGAATCATTCTTGAATTCATTATTTCACGTCTAATGTGGAAATAATCGTAATAAATTTTTAGAAGAATAAGTTTATGAGTGTCTTAGAATCTTCATTAGAGTGAAAATTTTAATTTTAAAGGGTATCAAAGTCAATTAAACTCATCTTTTGGTATTAAATAAGGGAAAAATTTACATTTCCAACATTAAATACTGTCTAAAAACGTTTTCTGATATATGAGGGGTAGTTTTGGTATTTTGTTAACAATAAATGGTTAATATTGATGGTCAACTAACAGAAGGAGTATCTGTGTAATTTTATTAAAAAGTAGTGTTGACGTGATTAATTTTAATTAAGAGAGTGTTATTTTGACAAAACACATGTGGTGTCAATGTTAATTATTTTTTTAAGTTATTTTTTTAGTCTTTTAACATAGATATTTTTCTTTTTTTTGTTCAAGTTCAAAGTGCCGTTTAGAACATGTCGATATACAAACACTTGCTATGACAAGTTTTCAATTCTTTGTCCCACGTTGGCAAACATAATGGGCGCATTTGAAACTCGTTATAAAATAATTTTATTTTTTATATGAAAATAAAAATGAAAACGTTTTTAATCTCAGATAAAAATTATTTTTAAAAATACGTTTGGTAGTTTTATCAATATATTATTTTTAGTATAAAAAAACTCATTAATGTCTTTCTCTGTTCGATTGAAGAGAAAACAAAAATAAAAAAATGATTAAAAAGTCATTTTTCATTTATCTCTCATTTTACACTAAACCAAAAAATCGTTTTCATTTTCATTTTTTATTTTTAATAGTGTCAAACGCCGTTTTAAAATCATTTTCATATTTTTTTTCTAAAAAAACGTAAAAAATAAAAACAAAAATAATTCCATGACAAATATTTTCCTAGCAAATTTATTATTTTCATAAATTTTATCAATTGATTAATTACATAATTATTTACCCACCCTTTATCAAATTATTTATCATTTTTTATACCTAATAAATACATTATGAATCCATTATTTATATAGGTCACGTTCATTTCACCGATTCGAGTTTTGTTACAGTAAAATTTTTTAAAAAATAATCACATTTAATTTTTTTACTATAATAAAAAATTATCACATAAAATTACATCTCAACTCGATTAAGAACTTGAATGAACGACTAAACGGCCCATAATTTTCACCATTTATTCACTTGGTTAATACAAAATTATTTACCAATTTATTTTATATTTACTATTGTTTTAAAGAAATTTGTTTACTATTTAAAGTCGCTGACCTCACTATTTCGCTAATTCTCCCAAATAAAAAATGGTTTTTTTTTTTTTAAATTTTTTATGCATTAGAATCAAAACCCTACAAAAACCTCTGCTTTCTACCGCCTTCTCTGAAAAAAAATCTCAGGAGGGCTGTGCTTCTCAGTTCTCAGCCCCTTTAGCCTTTTTTAATCATCTCTTTTCTTGTTCTTCAAGTCATTTCCGATTTTTCTCTTATATGCTTTCGCAAACTTTCTAGGGTTAGGGTTTCGCCAGATTTCCAGAGAAAACCAGACAACAAAAGAAGTTGAGTTGCAGAAGAAAAGAAATGGGGAAGACTCAGGCAATAGGGATAATCACAGCCATGGCGGCGTCTGCTTCGTTGTCCAAGCCCCAACAAGCTCACGCCGATGGCCCTTTCAGCTTCTCTCCCTTCGGTGGCTCTTCTCCTTCTCCTTCTCCAAATGTTCATCCTCCTGCTCAAGCTTCTTCTTCTGCCGCTTCTCCGCCGGGGAATGCGGAGGCTCCTCCGCCGCCTCCGAAGGTTCGGAACGATCATCCGAGGACGACCTCGGCCGGGTTCGATCCTGAGGCGCTGGAGCGGGGCGCCGAGGCTCTCAAAAAGATCACAAAATCTTCTGAAGCCAAAAAGGTTTGTCTATGGGGCTTTTTGGTTGGTCTGAATTAGGGTTTGAACTTTAAATGTAAGAAAATGACGAAGTAAAAAAGAAAAAAAAAGTATGTATGGGTGAAAAGTTGCGACTTTGTGGTCGGTAAATTGTATTTTTCAAGCTTTATTCCTCGAAATGTTTGTTTCTAATGACATTTTGATATATATGTTAAGGCGCGTTAATGTGAATGAGTATTTGGGTGATAAAATAACCATAAAACTGAAGAAGGAAACATAATTATCTTAGATAAGATGTATAGAAAGGATTTTTGGTTTTCTTTGTGATCTAGTAGTCTACTTGGTTGGTAAATTGTGGTGAATAAACCTAAAGTGTAAGCCATATCTTAGCTTTTCTGGAAATGGTTGTTTTTAATGGGATTTTGGTATTTAGGTTCTGCTTTATTTTAAAGGTTTGTCAACCTGAATTAGGATTTGGGTGTTTATATATATATATATATATATATATAATAAAAAATAAACTGGAGGAGGAACCAAACCAATTGTACATAAGGAGAAAAGCTAGGATTGTAAGTTTTGTATGTGGCCAAGTTCCTACTTGATTGGTAAACAGTGGTAAAGAAAGCTTGAGGTGCATATAAATTTATTATCTGCCGTTGTTCCTTGGTTGCTTTATCAACATTTTTATGCATGTTTCTTCATGATCATAGACTCCAGCTTTTTTATTTAAGAAAATGGTCGCGTGGAGAGGAATTGAGTTTAATTCTCCTGGTTTCCAAATGAGAGGTTTATCCGATTTAATGGTTTGGACTGGAATAATTAGGTGTTTGAAGTTATTAAAAAGCAAGAAGAGACGAGGCAAGCTGAACTGGCGGCAAAGGCTGAGGAGTTTAGGGCAATGAAAGCTCAGGCAGAAACTGTAAGATTTCTCATTTCCTTTTTCTTGTCAAATATTCTGCATTCCTAACTCAAAATATTAGTTTCTTATAGAGCTTTTTGTGTGTTTTTTTTAACTGCGAAACCATTTCTTAATGTGTCCACTTCATTGCCTTACAGGAGAGACAAAGAGTCTTATATGATGAGCAGAGGAAGCTAGCTCAGCATCAAGCACAAACAAAGTCCCAAATGGCTCGTTATGAAGATGATTTGGCAAGGAAGCGGATGCAGGCACGTAACCCTTAAAACTTCTACCATTTTTTTTTTGCATTTGTTTTGTTTTGTTTATTTTATTTATTGATTTATTTTTGTGTGTGTGTGTGGTGGGTCGCAGTTAGAGAATGAATTACAGAGAGCAAGGAATCAAGAACTAGTTAAATTGCAAGAGGAATCCTCAATCCGACAGGAGCAAGTTCGTAGAGCAACAGAGGAACAAATCCAAGCACAACGTCGACAAACGGAGAAGGAGAAGGCTGAGATAGAACGAGAAACAATCCGAGTGAGGGCTATAGCAGAAGCTGAAGGGAGAGCCCATGAAGCAAAACTAGGTGAGGAAGTTAACAGGCGGATCCTAGTAGACCGTGCAAATGCAGAACGAGAGAAATGGGTTGCTGCAATAAATACAACTTTTGATCATATTGGTGGTATGTAATAAAGTACCCTATATTACCTATTTCATCATTTATCACTTGTGGAAATGTTGCAAAAATTTTTATAGAAAATAATCCAGAATGTGGTTTTGGCACATTGCTGTACAATATTTATATGCTTATTGAGGTTTGATATATAGTCTTGGCTATCTGTTGTAGGGGGCTTGAAAGCCATTCTAACGGATCAAAATAAACTGGTCGTTGCTGTTGGGGGTGTCACTGCTTTAGCAGCAGGGGTGTACACAACAAGGTAATGTTAATAACGTAACTATAAAATGTTAGAACGTTCTAACATTTTATTTGTCCCTCTGAATGATTTTCTGTCCCGTATTTTTGCTTATAAACTAGCAATTGTGGTATTCATCTAATGCAATTATGCACGCTATAGATAACTTCCACTTGAAATCTTAGCGGAATACAGTTATCTTCTTTTATGTTGGGTTGGAGTCGCATACTACAGTATAGCTCATGCAAGTCTCGTTTCTTAAATACAGAGAAGGTGCTAAGGTGATATGGAGCTATGTGGACAGAATATTAGGACAGCCGTCGCTAATAAGAGAGTCCTCGAGAGGGAAATATCCGTGGTCAGGATTGTTTTCACGTGCAATGAGCACCCATCGTACTGATAAGGGATCGTCCCAAACTGGCAATGGGTTTGGTGACGTTATTTTACACCCTTCTCTTCAAAATAGAATAAAACAGTTGGCTAGCGCAACTGCCAATACGAAGTCCCATCAGGCACCATTTCGGAACATGCTCTTTTATGGTCCTCCAGGAACAGGAAAAACTATGGCTGCGAGAGAGCTAGCTCAAAAATCTGTAAGAGATCTTGCCCCTCTATTGCTAGTAATTTCTACTTTGATCAGTCAACTTTTCCATTTTGTTAGTTTATAGTCAATTTCACTTGAACTGTCATCTTTCCCAACATTTCTCCATACCATGTAGAACTCTCAAATTCCGTACAGGTTTGCAATTAGTTTATAAGGGCGATCAGTATCTTGAAATTAAGTAACAAAATTAGGAGTTAGTGAATTTACAGATATTTTGCACCATGCTTATTTGTAGTGGTTCAGTATTTTATTTTAGGATGATAAGATAGTTTTTAGGTGCCCGCTTTTGTTTCACTGTTATTCTCATCCTCATTATCTGGTTCGTCCCCACCACTATTTTGTTCTAAATTCAAGTTTCTCATGCCTTTAGGGGTTGGATTATGCATTGATGACGGGAGGGGATGTTGCTCCTCTGGGATCACAGGCTGTTACCAAGATACACCAATTGTTTGATTGGGCGAAGAAATCTCGGAAGGGTTTGTTACTTTTTATTGATGAAGCGGATGCATTCTTGTGCGAGTAAGTTATATCCTTTATTTGTTTTAATGTTTACTTAAATTAATATCTGACCAAATCGCCACAACCATATAATGCGTGCTTGTGTGTGTCTATATATGTATGTATGTGAATGTGCTGAGAGGATGAATTTGTTGAACCTTGCAGGCGAAATAAAACCTATATGAGTGAAGCGCAAAGAAGTGCACTCAATGCCCTCCTATTTCGCACTGGTGACCAGTCCAAGGACATTGTCCTTGCCCTCGCAACAAACCGCCCTGGTGATCTTGATTCGGCTGTGGCAGATCGTATTGATGAAGTTCTGGAATTCCCTTTACCCGGGGAGGAAGAACGTTTTAAGCTTCTAAAGCTGTATCTTGACAAATATCTAGCTCAGGCTGGCTCAAGAAAAGCCGGTGTGTTCCGTAGTTTGTTTAAGAAAGAACAACAGAAGATTGAGATTAAGGGCTTGACAGATGACATCTTGAAAGAAGCAGCAGCAAAGACCGAAGGCTTTTCTGGGAGAGAAATAGCTAAACTAATGGCGAGTGTCCAAGCTGCTGTTTATGGCAGTGAAAATTGTGTGCTTGACCCGAGCCTTTTCCGCGAGGTAGTTGACTACAAAGTCGCGGAACATCAACAGAGAATAAAACTGGCAGCTGGTGATAAAAGTAACTAATGATCTCTTTATTAAAGTTCCATCAGTTTTGAAGTTGCCTATGAAGTAGCTAAAAATAGGCTAGCATTTAAATTAAACATTTGAGAAAGCCCGCACCTATTTTTCGTTTTGGGCATTATGACAACTCGCCATTATTTGTTGCCCCCAGATGTTTGGGGGTTTTTGTATTTGTTCTAATCCGGCTTAAAAATTCAATGTTAGCAGTGATTGTTAAATTAAACATGATTCTTTTCGTTGCCTTGTGGCACCAAATTATTCTGAAGCCCTCACTTTCTTTCTGGTTTCTTGTAGTAGATTTATCGTCTCTGATCATTCTGAGCATTTTTGCCAAGAATATCATCTCGATCATTCCTTTATTTATTTATTAATTTATTTTTATGAAGACCTCCGATTATTTTTGGGCATTTTTGCCTATGGCTACTGAACTAAAAATACACAACAGTTGTGATTGCAAGAGTAGTTTAACGTTCACACCTTAATTCCACTATAACAGTTTGGTCTTTGAGGGTTCTTCTTTTTTTTTTTTTTTTTTTTTTTTTTTTTTTTTTAATTTAATTGGTAACAGTGTCTTTGACGGTTGTACAGAGATTATCTTACCCATATCTGCAATAACAATTTTTTTTTAAACAAAAAATAAATTGCCACCATTGACCTACAATTCCCATATTCGTTAAAAGTCTTACGATCGCTTATTTAAAGCAGCGAATAAGCATCGCCGGCGAGTTATATCCAGATATCCAAACATTATATAAAATGGACAAATAAGTTTTTGAAAGAGGAATGAATTGTATCCATTGAAAACTTAAGAATAACATGAAGAGTAGAGGCATGTACTAATCCTTATTCCGCCAATTTAGACACAAGTAAAAGTATCATCACTTCATATTGATTTTGCCTTGAAAACGGCTTCAACAAAGATACAAGGATGAACATGGTTCGCGGTAGTCATCCCAAAAGCCTAGTGATGATGATCCTGAACATAGCGAAGGCCACAATACTTGCAGACAGCTGGCTCCTTCAAGTCGAGGCAGATGAACTCAATTGGGTGCCCGAGTGCCGGATCATTGTCTGCAAAAGGAAACAGTATCCCAAATAAGTCATGAACCTCCTACTCTAAAGGCATGCCTTTTACGAGAATGCTATTTGACGGCCCAGTTCATTTCACTAATTTTAGTTTAGAATTCGAGTTTTGTTACAGTAAAAAGCTCTAAGAAACAGTCACATCTAACTTTTTTGTTACAGTAAAAAACTCTTACATAAAGTCACATCGCAACTCGAATTAAAAACTCGAATCAGCGAACTAAACGGGCCCTTAGTATTGCACTACCAAACCTATATCTAGCTTCTTCCTTATACATATAAGTAATCATATAGCAAATGACGGAAAAACAAACCTCCTTCACAAGCAACAATTCTGCCTTCAACCTTGATCGGTGGAACTTCGTTGATCAACTCCATTGGAGATTTCATACTAGTGTCCTATTAATAAAGAGATAAAAGCAGCGAATGTTCAAGTCTTATATCTCATTATATATATATATATATATATATAAAGCGCTCTCCAAAAGAAGCAGAAGGTAGATTATATATATTGTATGCTGACAAAAGGGAACAAGTTTATCCGTGCACATAGGAAAACTGGTAGCATAGCAAATAAAAAGCAGGTATACAAACTACGACCTTTTGACATGGTGTGCCGCGTTATCCTTAAAATTGCAGATACCACGGATGAAAAGGTTTAAGTCAGAGAGCGGAAAATGGCGCAGAAGGCATGAATGATACAGGAATTGGACAGTGGTCACCAACCTCAGGTTGGGATTTTAGAAAGAAACTCAAATTAAAGCCACCAAAAGTTCTGAATAACCCCCCTAGCTATGGGAGCTTTAAGCTCTTTGCAATACAAAACACGCTGTTTCCAGACAGTATGACGTACAGAAAAGTAGAAAACTAAACAACAAAGCAGGAAAACAAAAACAACAGACAGTAGTTTCAAGGCTCAAACGACTGTATTCTCTGCTGCAAAACGTATTACTAATTCTTTGCTGCAAAAGGGTATTCTTAACATAGCACTGGTGGAATACAGCATCAGAGAACGTGGAAGGACGTTGAAGGTGCTAGCTAGTCTAGCCGCTCAACTCATCTCTTAATACACAACCCATGCGGGTACAAAGAATAGTAGAATCTTATCATTCCAATGAATTTAAGGGCTTCTTCTTTTTGCAATTCGAATCACAACTCAAACCTCTCAGAAAAATTCAAACTTAACTTTTTTGCTACAGTATTTTATCACATAAATTGAATTCTCAACTCCAACCCACGAGAAGAATGGGCCCTTAAATAACGTGGGGTCCCAACCAAAAAAAAAAAGGCCATTCTGCTAGTTAGCAGTAAAAAGTGCAAACAACTTCACCAACATTTATCATTGAAATTCAAGGGAAAAACAAAAAACAAAATACTACACATTAGTACAAACCAATAGAACCTAGAGTTTTATGTTCCTTAAAATGTTTGATAATTTCAAAACTTTTCCCAAGTTCTCTTTCTCAGCTATCTTAGCTAATTGTCCTACCACAAAAACATTTCTTTTTGACGTAACCATGAAAATCAATTAAATCATCATCAGAAGAAGGAACCCAATTAGTAAAAGCACAAAAAAAAAAAAAAATCGTGACGCATATCTCTCAGCTAACCAAGATTAAGGGAAACAACTGCCAATCCTCAAAACGAAAAACAAAATTTCATGAATACAAGAGCTAAACCCCTAACCGTAAAGCATCAATTAATAACTTTATTAATAGTTTCAAAAAAGTTTTTGAGGTATTTCAGTGGGAAAAAAAAAACCTACATTAAATTCCTCGAAAAATTTCGAAAAGAAAAGTCCTTTCTCATTCTATTCTATTCTACTCCTCAGCAAGATTAGTTTAAACTGAAAACGGAAAATTGGATTCAATGTATACGGATCGTTGATTAAGCAAAGTAATAAACCAAAGGAAATTGAAAAGTAAAAATATTAATACACACCTGCATCCATTTGGCCGTGTGGTTGCCGACTTGATTGGGGACAAGGCTGAGATTTCTGGTACCCAGAGCCAATTTCGAAGATCGGATTAGGGTTTTCATCAGACTCGACGCCATAGCTCTGAGAGAGAGAGAGAGAGAGAGAGAGAGATGAACGACTAGCTAATAGGGGATTTTTTTTTTTTGGACTTTGCATACTGAGCCCGGGTAAAGAGCAGTCGTTTTATTTAGGATCAGACGACGTGTCGTTTTTTAGGCTAAAAAACCGAATTTTTGTTTAACGTGAATAAACTGCCTCAATTTGGCGGGCCCACCTTCCCCCAAGCTCACACTTCTCCTCTCTCTCTCTCTCCCTCTATTTCAGTCTCTTTCTTACTTATCACTTAACCCATTAAACTCCAAACTTCTTGAACTCTCCTTTGGATTTCAATCAGATAGCACGAAATCACTCTCTCTCTCTCTCTCTCTCTCTCTCTCTCAAAGCCTTATCCCTTTCCCCACCACTGGTATATAACCCCATAAAACCATAATGTGCAAAAATTTTCACTCCTCAATCTCAGCCATGTAGAACCACAAAGACCAAATGCAAGAAACGCAAATCCTTTCCTTCACCAAATCCCTCCCTTCCTCTCCCTCTTCCTCCACCACCAAACCCCATTTCCCCACTCATCCCAACCATGATTTTCCCTCACTTTCCCACCCCAAATCTCTCCGCTTTCCCACACTTTCCACCAAAACAAACACCCCCATAAACCCCACCAACACCAACACCACCTCCACCTCCGACTTTCAAGAGAAATTGCTCTATTTAGACTCCATTGGGATTGATTTCCTGACCTTAATCGACGACCACCCTCCGGTCCTCTCCTTCCCCCTCGCAGAGATAAAATCCACCGTCGATTTCGTCGCCTCCTTCGGAATTACCGCCGTGGAGTTCCGCCGCATCGTCGGGATGTGCCCGGAGATCCTCGCTTCTAGGGTTTCCGAAATCGTACCGATCTTCACGTTCTTGATTCGGGAGGCCCGCGTCAACGGCTCCGATTTGAGGCGCGTGATCAACCGACGGCCGAGATTGCTCGCCTGCAGCGTCAAGAACCGCCTCCGGCCGACGCTCTACTTCCTCCAGAGCATCGGAATCGCCGAGGTCAACAAGCATACCAACCTCCTCTCCTCCAGCGTCGAGGAGAAGCTCATTCCGAGGATCGAGTACTTCGAAAAGATCGGGTTTTCGCGCCGGGATTCGGTGTCGATGTTCCGGCGATTCCCGCAGCTGTTCTGCTACTCCGTGAAGGAGAATTTCGAGCCGAAATTCGACTACTTCGTAGTCGAAATGGGGAGGGATTTGAAGGAGCTGAAGGAGTTTCCGCAGTACTTCTCGTTCAGCCTGGAGAAGAGGATAAAGCCAAGGCACCAATGCTGTGTAGAGAAAGGTGTGTGCTTTCCTTTGCCTATATTGTTGAAGACTAGCAATGCCAAGTTTTGGGATAGATTGGACATTTGTTGTAATGCTTCAATGCCCTTTGAGAGATCTCCTTTGTGGTGTACAAATTGTGATATTGATTTGGTATAAAAATTCAAAATGTTACTTTGAATATAGTATAAGTTTCACATTTGTTCTGATTTTTCGTAGGAAGTTTTAGTGGGTTTTGTTGCTTTGTGTGGATAAATTGATTGTTTGTGTTTTTTGACACTTCTGTAGTGTTTCTATGCCTGATGCTGAAATAGGATTGAAATATTTGGACTAATATAAGAACTACTTAAATATGTAACATCAAAAAGTATAAAATTGCTATGGTTTTGTTTTTTATTTTTATTTTTTATTTTATTTTTTATGAATAGGTGGGTTTTGTTTCTTTGTGCGACTAGATTGGATTGGTTCTATCTTTGTGATATTTTTGTAGTTTTTGTGCCGTGATGATGATAATCGATGAAAAATTTGGAGTTATAAATACAATTTAAAAAATGACACTGCAAATAGTATAAATTGCTCCGATTATTATAATTATTATTAAGTTTTCGTGGGCTTTCTCATTGTGCCTTGTGAAGATTTTGCTTGCTTCTGCTATTTTTTAAGTGTAAGTGTGTCAGTGCCTGGTGATGATAATAAGGTTGGAACGTTTGAAAGCATCTCAATTAGTTAGTTTTCACTATTATTCTTTTAATTGTTGGTGGATTGGGAGCATAGGATTTCCTCCATTATTACGTGACTAGAAAAGCAATGCTGATCTTAGGTGTGGGGAGATTTGGTTGTGAACCTTCCATGCGTTAAAGATTTTCTTTTGTGTCGTCATATTTCTATTGATTTGGTGTGGAATTTAATCCCCAAAAAAGTTCATGTGGTTTACCTTTAATTCTATTTTAGTCCCTAACTTTTAAAGTGTCTCATAGTTGGTCCATGAGATTTTATTCTGTTTTAATTTTGATCCTTTTGTTAAGTTGTTAACTATTTAATGGAATATGTGTAAATTAGGGATTAAAATTGAAAACATAAGATTTGAACACTATTTTTGAAAATTAACTTTATTATTTTAGTCCCTAGATTTTAGATGTTTCTAATTTTATCCCTAATTTCATCAAATATTTAATACGTTATTTACTGAAATTGAAATAAAGTAAAACTTCAAGGATTAACTATGGAACGTTTTAAAAGTCAGTAACTAAAATAGAATGAAGGGTAAATTTCAGAGATTATTTGTGGGATTAACCCATTTGGTGTGGGATAAGAATATTTTTTTGACGTCAATATTCTTTAGGTGTGGGATAAGAATATTTATATATGTGTATGTATTAGCACGTTCTTATCCTTTCTTTGTGGATTTGCATGAAAAAGATCGTAAGCACAGTTTTTTTTATTTGCTTCATAACATTTGCTTTTTAGAAGTAGAGATTCGTTGATATAAAAAGTATAATAAATACGATTGTAATGCTTCCAAGTTTGTTTTTGGTTTATACCTTTCTTGTTTACTTGTCAATTAAAAAATTATACTATAAATTAAACAAATAAGAGTAGGTTGATAATTTTTGGGAATGATTACAAAATAAAAAAGTTACACCATATGCATATGATCTAGTTAGGATCAAAGACATTTTTAACGTGAAACAAAAGTTAGTCATTTGGGGCCCGTTTAGTTCGCTGATTCGAATTTTTAATTCGAATTAAGATGTGACGTTATGTGAGAGCTTTTTACTGTAGCAAAAAAGTTAGATGTGATTGTTTTTTAGAGCTTTTTACTGTAACAAAACTCGAATCGGCGAAATGAACGGGATCGTGAGTTTCGATTGGATAGCAGCGGGTATATATTTGCGGGCATGGTTTTAACCTCACATAAAACTAAAAATAGAGTGAATCATAATAATTAGATTGGGATGTTGGGTAATGAATCAAAATAATTTTTTGATGACCTTGTGACACATTGATATTTTAGCCTTTAAAACACATAGTTCTAATAATGTAAATATTGGTTCAAACTTTATTTCTTATATAGACTTTACACTATCAAATGTCAATTCCAATCACAGAAAATAAATAGGTCTAAACCCACCAATTTGAACACGTGAAGCAAACAGTTAGTCACAAATATTTGTTACATTAAGGTATTGTTTGGTTTGCCGTTAGGATTGTGTGATTTGATTTGAATTACGATTCGAACCGGTATTTAGATACACACATAAATTATAATTTAAATTGAGAATAAAATTTGAACTGTGGTTGGATAAAGGGTTGAAAACTGTCGTTAACGTTTTATAACAATTTTTATAAAATCTTATTGTAAATGATATTAAAAAATATACAATATAATGGGGATTTATTTCTCTCTTCATTATGAACACATTTGAAAAAAAAAAGAAACACTATCTCAATCGAAATTGAAACGAAGAAATTATGATATTTTTAAGTTTAAAGTTGAGGAGATAGAAAAAATAAAATCCAAATTGTTTTTACTGTAGCAAAAATTTAGATTGTTAGAATTTAGAGCGGCAGTAAATTTTAAAATTAAAGGTTTAAACCATTGTCAATGGTTTGAATTGTCCTTATTTAGGTCTCGTTTTTTTTATTAATTCGAGTTTTCAATTCCAGTTTTATTACAGTTGAAAGCTCTTACAAAAAGACATCTAATTTTTTTTCTGCTACAATGAAAATCTCTCACATAAAATTACATCTTAATTTAAATTCAAAACTTGAATCAACGAACTGAATGAGACTTTAGTTTTCTACTAAAGATCAATTTGAATCTTAAATTATAGTTTAAATTGAATTGTTAGGTTTGAGTTGTTGAAATAAAGATGAGCTAAGTTTTGAGTTTCTTGTCCCACATTGACCAGGAAGTAAGGAGACTTGGAGTATCAAATCTATAAAGCGCAACTCAAAAGACGAGGAAAAGCATACCTTTCTCGGCCTTTTGGCTAAGATCAAGTGTAGTATCTGTTCTTATCAGTTTAATATCTGATACGTGGGCTATAAGCCCACATGATATTAAATTAATTTTTTTAGGGGGAGAGCCCATCACAATAGCTTGCTATTGGGGTTCTCGAGCGTCGCCCTTGTTTTGCACTATCGCATGGGCCTGGCGCACCCCACCCAAAGCTAGTTTAAACTTGGGAAAATGCTACATATTTAAAATAGACATCATATTTTTAAATGATAATAAATTATAATATATTCTCTTTTTACTTTTAAAATAGATAATTTAATTACAATTATTTTACGTATAGATTTTAAATTATGAGATTTAGAATCGTTTTATGCGTAAAAAATTATAAATTATGTGATTTAAAATTTAAAATTGTTTTACGCAAAGAATTATAAATTATAATTTAAATTAAAAATAAATAGAGAAAATAAATATCTCTTTAATTTTTAAATTGACATTTTCTTCAATCTTAAAACCCTAATCAAACAATTCTCTCTCTCTCTCTTCCATCCACGCTGTTCTTCTCTTCCATCAATCAGTGTCGAAGGCCGCCATGGCCAGAGCTCTGTCCGCGTGAGAGAGTTTTTTTTATCTATAGCGTGCGTCGTGAGGCCTCCTTTTTCGCTGGCGCTGATTTAATCGTCGCGAGGCGTTTCTCTTCTCCGATGCCAATTCAACTGTCCTGAAGCCTACTTCTCCTTCTACGCCGCGATTCAACCGTCAAATGAGCAACTCGTGACTCCGATCTCGACAAACTCACTACTCAAATCTCGGTTTACTCGTGACTCCGCTCCTCTCTCTCTGTTGCTTGCGCTGTCTCTCTTCCGACATGTCTTCTTTTCTTTAGATTTCCTTATTTTTGGCTTGGATCTGTGCGTTTCGTTTCTCCAATTTCTGAAATTTTTTTTTTTTTTGCAATTTGCCTTCCATTGATGAACATATATGTATATGCTTTTTTACATTGCTATATCTGCATGTGTTGATTTCTATTTTGTATTGTTTAACCACGGGCTGTATGTATTTGCTCTTCCATTTGGTTCCTAAAGTGGGCTGGTTTTAGCAGAAGTAAAAGAAAGAAAATAATTCTTCCTGTTTCAGATAAATATTTTACTTCCATTCTAATCAAACGATTTTTAATATAGTTTTTAGTATTTACCACAAGGTAGCATTATGGGTTAGATCGATTTGTAATCCTGTCCATATAATTGATTTCTGGTTGTGGATTTTTTGTACTTTTTTGTGCATTATTTCATGATCTTAATTGGTTCTTTTTTTTTTTTTTTATAATTGTGTTTTGGTTTCCGGTGCTAGTAGTGATAGTCTTCGGTAAATACGCTGTTTATTGGTTGCCGATGGTAGCGGCCTGATTTTTAAATAAATATAGTTAGATAAATATTATATTTATTTATTAGTAGCTGGCGATTGAATTTTCATATGAATATGGTATTTATATGTAACAGTGGTCGTCTGTAAATAAATTTTTTGATAAATATGATATTTATTGATAAACATGATATTTATTGGTACATAGTCTTTATTAATAAATACAATGTGAAACAATCGTTGGATTAGATAAATATGATATTTACTAGTAAATACGGTATTTACTAGTAAATACGGTATTTACTAATAAATATAGTGTTAAACTGTCACCGGAGTTATCGTCTCGATTTTTAGATAAATATGATATTCACTAGTAAATACGGTATTTACTAGTAAATACAGTGTTAAACGGTCACTGGAGTCGGTTGTCGAATTTTTAGATAAATGTGATATATACAGATAAATATAGTATTTATTAGTAAATATATTGTTAAACGTTTGCCAGAGTCGGGGGTCGAATTGTCAGATAAATATGATATTTACTCGTAAATACGGTATTTATTAGTAAATACAGTGTTAAATAGTCGTTGGAATCGTTGTCTAAATTTTCAGATAAATATGATATTTACTAGTAAATACGCTATTTACTGGTAAATATAATGTTAAATGGTTGTCGGAATCGGTGATAGAATTTTTGAATAAATATGATATTTACTCATAAATACGATATTTACTAGTGGCTATAATGTTAAATGGTCACTGGAATCGGTGCAAATTTTTTTATATAAATATGATATTTACTAGTAAACACAATATTAAATAGTCACTAAAGTCGGCGGTCAAATTTTTGAGTAAATATAATATTTACTAGTAAATATGGTACTTATTGATAAATACGATATTTACCTGTAAATGCAGCGTTAAATGGTCGCCGAAGTCGGTAGTCGGCTTTTTAGGTGAATATGGTATTTACTAATAATTACGGTATTAAATGGTAAATATGGTATTTATCAATAAATACAATGTTAAACGGTCGTCGAAAAACGGTAATAGGTTGCCAAAAAATAGTGGTCAGTCACCGGAGCTAGGCGTCAGTCTTAGACATGGTGGACTTGACTATAATCTTCATATTTTAAAAAATATGCAATTTACTATTTTTTTAAAAAAATATATATGTTTACGGGGGAAGAGAGGTGGAAAAAGAGGTTTAGGGAAATTTTTAAGTTTTTTATAATATTTAAAACTTAAAATATCAAATTATGTTATAATTTTTTATTTTTAAAAAATGTCGTAATTTACTAATCACTTTACCAATTATGTTATTTCTCCACTTATCCCTTTACACTTTTTTGGTCCCAAACGTATATAAATTAAATAAATAAATAGTTACAATAAAAATATGTTAGTAATGAAGTGTAATTATAAACTACTAGTAATTTTATGTGAAAATTTTTTATTATAGCAGAAAAAATTAAATATAACTTTTTATTAAAGTTTTTAATTGTAATAAAACTAAAATTGAAAACTCGAATCGGTAAAATGAACGACGCCATATTTTTTAGTCAGCAATTGAATTACCTCATCCCCTTATTTTCTTTTATTATCTCATGTCTATAGTAATTGTAAGCAATATTGAGCTTATAATTGCATTTTTCTCCTATTATTTTTCCTCCTTTTTGATTATATTGCTTTTTCCAGAAATTTTAGTGCCATATAGTGCATGCAGCAACTCTCAATAGTAAGCTAATACGTTACGCCAATGATTTTGCAAATAGAAGGTCTTAAGTTCGGGTTTTAGAAAAACATGTTAGAAAGAGATTGCCACGGCTGATTGTCCCTCACGTCCCTTCATTTAAAAAAAAAAAAAAATTCGTGTTGCAAAAGACAAAAGTCCTAAAACATATTTGCGGTTCCTGTTTTAGCTCCACCATTTTTGGTTTTATCGACCAAAACATCAAATTCTAACTAGCATTTGTAGACTACTCAGAAAAAAAAAAAAAAAAAGAACCAGCGTTTGTGGACTTTCAAGATGGTTATATCATAAGGCCACATCATAATTTAGATTAGCATAAAGACAGCGACGCGACTGTCCCTTGTCAAGAAATGATTCGTTTTGGGTGGCTACCAAAATAGAAGAGTATCCTAAACAAAATATAAAATCAAATGAAAAAAAAGAGTAATGGCTTTAATGCTGAGCAAGAAAGTTTAAATTTAGTCGGTGAATTTGTGTTATAATTTGGATCATAATTTGTAATTTTTTACAGTATTTTTTTTTAAAAATACACATAAATTAAAAATAATTTTAAATATATCAATCAAACATTGAGGAAAAGAACTAAAAAAAATAGTAGATCTTAGTGTGCTGGGCAATTTCTGTCCACTTTAAAATGTAAGAATCCAAGCAGACGAGTGTCTTTCTTTTTTATCTTTATTTATTATAGGAAAAATTTTACTCTGATATCCTGTGTTATGGACGCGATAGCGGATAATAATTTTTGAAAAAATAATACGGAGCAAAAAATAAAATTACGGTGGTATTTAAAAGTTTGTATCAAACCATTTTCCTTCCTTTTTTTTTTTTTTTTTTAAGGCAATCTCCTTCCCAAAATTCATTATAGAGAAAAATATCATTGTCACAAGAATTGTCGTTTAGACAAATACAAAACTCCACCAGAATAAACATTTCCAAATATAGACCAAATGAAAAAAAAAAAAAAAAACAAAAAAAAAACCCACCAAACATTAACACTAGAGACGTGGCTTTTGTCTTACTCTTTCGCTCTCTTTTCTTTCCATTCGTGGCCAGCTTCCGCTCCAAGTAGTCCATGCGTGGCCAGCTTCCGCTCCAAGAAGTACATTCCCAACACCAAGTCCAAGCAGCATAAAAATCATCGAAAATTAACAAACACAATAATTTCTCATTTTCTTTTGACAAAAAAAAAAAAAAAAAAAGTAAAAGTAGAAGAAAAAGACATACCCAAGCCATCAGAATCCAAAACCCAACAGACAATTGCCTTTTGGTGGGGTTTTGGGTTTTTCTCTGTGTTGGTAACTGAAGCTGAGGAATCCATGGAATCCATCACGGAATCATCAAAGCCTCCTTCTCATGTTTCTAACCCACGTAAGCCTTCTCTCTCCCCCTCATTTTCCTTCCCTATTCGAGCCCCTCTCACTCTAGACGACGATAGTTCTGATTTTGAACCAAACGACAATGAATTTGGCAACACCAGTAGCAGCGAAGACAGTGGGAATGAGTCCGAAACGACATCGGAGAGGCCTGGTAGGCCTTTTGTTGCCCATTCATACGACAACAAAAGCTTAGAGAGTGGTTCCGAAGGTGAAACCGAAAATCAAAATCCTAAGTGGGTTAGGCCCATTGCTAAGCTTTCTTGGGATGATGATGATGATGGTAGTGATTTGGTGGGTAGTGAAGTGGAATATGGAGATTCTTTGTTTGAGAGTATTGGGGTTGTGGAGAAGATTGGTATTGCACCAAGAATTAAGGTTTTGGGGGCTGAAGAAGAAGAAGAAGAAGAAGAAGAAAAGGGTGTTGATGAAAATGGTTTTATGGGATTTGAAGAAGGTGATAAGTTTGAGGACTTTAATGTTGTTGTCGTTAATGAAGATTCTAATGGTTCGGAGTTGCTAAAGGAAGAAAAGGGTGTTGAAGATTGTTGTCCAAAAGAAGATTGTTATGCAGTGGAAGAAGAACCTGTGGTTTGTCAAAGCAGAAACGACAACAGTCTTAGTCTTGACATTGATGTGATGCTTGAGAGGGAAATGAATACGGATATTGGTTTAGATCGTGCCGAGGATAAGTCGGTCGATGATGTCGTTGAATTCGTTGGAGATGAGCATGATTTTAGGAGGTTTGAGATGTCTAAGCAAGCTGAGGAGCCTGCGGAGACGGGTAAGTGTGATTTTTCGGAAGTAATTGAGGTTGATGGATATGAAAACGCGCTGTATAGTGATTCTAGCTTGGATCACAGTGTAAAACTAGGAGCAGATTTTGAAGAAGGATGTGATGAAGAAGAAGAAATTGAAGGAGGAAAACGTAGTTCTGTTTCTGATGCCGAAGATTTGATATCTGGGAGCTCTGAAGTAACTAAACCGATCATGAACGAAATCGACACCGATGGTGATGGTGAAGGACAAGATTCGTATGACTCCGCAACACTAATGGCTATCTTGGATGCAGCAACTAGTGCTAATGGCTCAGGAGTACTCACTGTTGATGACTCTAGTCAAAAACTAGCTCCTCAACAGACTTTAACTCCTTTAGAACTTAGAGTTGAAGATGAACCCGAGGACAACTTAAGCGCGGATGAAAAGAAGAAGATCAAGAAGATGCAACTCTTGAGAGTGAATTTCTTGAGGCTTGTTCACAGACTTGGCATTTCTCTTGAAGATTCCGTGGTTAACAAAGTCTTAGACGGTTTGGTCCTTGCTTTTGGGGAACACAATGGTTATTTTGTTGCTCTTGAATCAGCAAAGAGAATGGCCTTGGATCTTGAAGCTGAGAAGGAAAGTGACTTGGACTTCTGTTTGAACATTCTGGTTCTTGGGAAATCTGGAGTGGGAAAAAGCGCAACGATCAACTTCATTTTCGGCGAGAAGAAAGCTGCAATCCACGCGTTTGAACCCGCCACTAATTCTTTGAAAGAAATTGTTGGAACAATAGAAGGAGTCAAGATCAAAATCCTTGACACACCAGGTCTAAAAATTCCTGCTATTGAACAAGCTGCAAACCAAAAGATACTAGCAGCTATAAGTAAATTCATGAAGAAGTCCCCTCCGGATGTCGTTCTTTATGTCGATCGATTGGACACTGAAACCGGAGATAACGATCTTCCTATGCTGAAATCAATCACTAAATCTCTTGGCTCCGAAATATGGCAAAAGACTATTGTCACTCTCACACATTCAGCTTCTTCCCCTCCAGATGGACCTTTAGGCTTACCCCTTAGCCACGACATCTTTGTCGCGCGAAAATCCCGCGCTGTTCTGCAGTCTATCAGCAGGGCTGCTGGTAACAAGCATTTGTTGAATCCAAGTTTCATGTGTCCCGTGGCTCTTGTTGAGAACTCTCCACTGTTCTCTCAAGATTCTCTCATGAGATCCCAGTTGTTGCTCTTGTGCTACTCCAGAAAGGTCCTATCAGAAGCGAGTTCCTTATCACCGCTCGAAATTTCCTCCGATTGGAGAAAATTTATTGGGCTACCAGTGTCATATCTGCTCCCGTCTCATCCTCATCCAAATCACGGTGATACTTTCGACTCTTACATCGAGTTTGGGGACTTGTGTGATTCAGAAAGTGAAAATGAAGATGAGGATGAGTATGACAAGCTTCCTCCTTTCAGGCCTCTGCTGAAGTCTCAGGTTGCTAAGCTCAACAAGGAGCAAAGGAAAGCTTATTTCGAGGAGTACGATTATCGCGTGAAGCTCTTCGAAAGGAAACAACGGAAAGAGGCTCTTAAAAGGCTGAGGGAAATTAAGAACAAAGGGAAAGATGGTGCAAATGTTGGCCATGATATTGGTGATGATGGTGAGGAGGGGGACGAAAATTTTAATCCAGCAGCTGAATCGCTACCGCTTTCCTTTGATGGAGATGATCACGCCTACAGATACCGGTCTTTGGTGCCGGGGTCGAAGCTTCTTGTGGGGCCAGTTGTTCAAACTCATGGTTGGGACCACGACTGCGGCTGGGACGGCGTTAGCATGGAGAGGGATTTCGCTGTTGCTGGTCGGTTACCAGCTGCATTTCATGTCCAGATCACAAAGGATAAGAATGAGCTCAATGTCCACTTGGATTCCTCAATCTCATTGAAGCATGGAGAGAAAGGCTCTACCTTGGCAAGACTATATGTTGAGACTTTTGGGACTCAGCTTGGTTACATCCTAAGAGGCGAAACCAAAGTGAGAAGCTTCCTGGACGAAAATGTGGCGGCAGGACTCAAAATCGAGGACCAGATTGCGGTGGGGAAGCGTCTGCTGTTGGCAGCAGGCGCTGGAGCTGTGCAGTATAATGGTGAGGCCGCGTGTGGGGCCAATTTCGAGGTGCGCCTCAAGGATGAGGATTTCCCTGTAAGGCAGGATGAACAATCCAGTTTGGGGCTGTGTCTGATGAAATGGAGAGGTTGCAAGGCTCTAACAGCCGTTGTAGAGTCCCGATTCGCCATTGGAGGGAGCTCAAAAATGGTGGTTAGTTTCGGATTGAACAACGAGCGAAGGGGACGGATTAGTATCAAAACAAGCAGCTCAGATCAGCTACAGATAACACTGGCTGGAATTCTTCCAGTTCTGGTTTCAATCATTGGAAGTATCTGCTGTGGATTTGGAGCCCAAAACTAGACACATATATAGACAATACAAGAAGAGTTTGTTTTCAACTTTTAGTAGTAAATACACTTTGTAGTGAGTAAATTCAGTATAAGGAGGTCACCAATCTGCTCTTTTACATGTTTACGCTCAGATTTTATGTAATTTGGTTACACTTTTTTTTTTTTTTTTTTTTTTTTTTTTTTTTTTTTTTTTTTTTTTTTTTTTTTCTGGAAGTTGCACTTTTCACTTAAATCTACTAGCTATACTAGTAGTAATGTTCTGAGCTCTGAACTTAATGAAGTTTGTTGAGCTGCTGAGCAGTTGGTTCTTTGTATTAGTTGTCTCAAAAAGTTATATATGTTTATGTATATGTATACGTATATTTTTGCTGGCCCCAAAAAAGATAAAGCTGGTCTAATCTTTGAATCTGCTGAAGCCCATTACTGGCTTAAGCAATATATAAAACATTACTCACAGAAATAAAGCTCATCTCCAACTTCAAAACACATTAATGGAAAAGATTAAAGCGTAACTTAAGCAGAAGCCTCTTATTTTTAAAAAAGAAAAATAATGATGAAAAACAAAACAAAATTATTCTGGTTCTGAAGTCGGAGGGAAGTCGGGGATGTATTTTCCAGAATTTTGGTCAAAATTAACTTCACCCTAAAATGCTAGCTATTTATAAAAGAAATATTACATTAGGTAGAAATATGTTGAACCTCAAATTTTTATAAAATTCTATAAAATTTATCTTTTTTTTTAAAAAAAAATTTGATGTAATTTTAGTACCCTTTAGTAAAATGCTTCTTGCTTAAAATTCCCAAACGTGGCTATTAATTATTATAGGGGGGAATACAAGTTAATTGTATATATTTTGTTAAATATGTATGTTCCTAGATTAGAATTTGAATTATGTTTTGGGGTATATTATTATTAGATATAATATTACCTTTTAGGAGTCGTACTGGTGAGCACTAAATTAGTAATATCAAATACTTCATATCAAACTAGTTATAAAAAATAAAAAAAAACTTGTGCCACTCCATAATATAATGGTGCAATATGAAATATTGTGCTAACATGATAGCCCAATTAGGATTGCAATATAATATAACAATGAAGGGAGACAATAAAGTTATTTGGCTCATGGGAAAATTACGGTAGTATTATAGGATGGGGGTAGTAAAAGATTATTCTAATTCACGAAGTATAGAGTGGTAAAACAAAAGCCATCAATGGCTTAGCATGATAGAAAAATATTATGTAGAGAAGGGAGATGGAAAAATATTATGAAGAGTACAATATGTAACTCATCTATACCAAACAGTGAGGGAGGAGAATAAAATATAAGATTATTTTTATAAATGCCCTCTAAACTATATATTCTATTTGAAAATATCTCTTAATTTCTCAGAACCATTCAAAATACATCATGATCTATAGAAAACGAATCAAATTACTCCTTCCGTCAACTTCGGTATATAATTCTAACAGATCTGCTGACGTGGCACAAATTATTAAAATATTAAAAGCTAAATAAGCTATAAAATGTATTAATTATTAAAGATTAAACTTAAAACATGATTAGCTTCCGTCTACTCTTAGTTTCCTATTTTTGAATTTGTCTTTGAGTTATAAATTACGTAGAATAAAGTCACGCTCATTTCACCAATTACAATAAAAAACTCTCAAAAGCAGTCACATTTTACTTTTTTACTACAATAAAAAACTCTCACATAAAGTCACATCTTAACTCGAATTAAAAACTCGAATCAGCGAATTAAACGGGCCCTAAGATGTTGTGTATATATTCAATAATTTCAATAAGAAGGTTATGTCATAATTTCTTCATAACCTTTTCACATGAAGCCTCATTTGTTTCACTAGTTTGAATTACAATGTAAATTTTTGTTACAATATTTTTTCACAAAAATTTAAATTTAATTTTTTTAATATAATATTTTCTCTCGCATAAATTTACTTTTAAGTAATCTTGACAAATATTTCTTGAAAATACGTGGTCATAATTTTTACCTTTTACTCTTAATTCATAATATTTTTAATCAAATAATTATACTAATAAAAAAATATTTATCTAAAATAAAAATATAAACTAATACATTCTTAAAAATAAATTATCTATTTTTTTAAAATTTTAAATTCTCAACTAAAAATGCCAAATTAACTATTTCCCGAGGCCCAAACTTTTCTTTTCAAGCTAAGCCAGGTGGCGGGCGGGTTCATCGTTTGGTTGACGTATAAATTATTACCAATTATCCGCAAAAAGGGGAATTTTTTCCCTCGCAGTGGCTAAACTGGTATCGCCCATCGGAGAGAGAGAGAACTGAAAAAAAAAAAAAAAATGGAGAAGCTCATCCTCCACTGAACTGAAGACCAAACCAAAAAAAAAAAAAAAAAAAAAAATGGGGTTGTTTTAAAAATCCTTCCCAAAAAAGAGGGAACCCCCACCCCCCCTGAAACGAAGACCAAACCAAAAAAAAAAAAAAAAAAAAAAAAATGTCGTTGTTTTTAAAATCCTTCGCTTCTCACTCTCCCCCTCTCAAACCTGCTGACGCCACCATGGCCGTCCTCTCCACTTCTCCCTATCGGGTTCGTATATATATAAATGCTCTCCGTTTTATTCTCTTACGCACTTTTCTTCTTCCTCTTCTTCGAATCTCTCGTCTCTCATTTCTCTCTTCGCGCTTCGACCTCCGTTTGGATCCCGAGAAAGTCCGAGACAAAAAGGAAACCGCGATTCTCAGCTCGTTTCTCCTTTTATTATTATTATACTTTCCTTCGGTTTTCTCGGTTAGCAAACGGAGCATTGAGCTGATTTTGCTCCTCTGTTTTGTGTTTTTCTGTTTTTCGGATTCTATGGATTAGGTTTTCATGCGTGATTGTTGTGGAATCGTTGATGAATATGAAGCAAGCTGGAGTTCGTAGGTTTAAGTTTATCTAGACTCGTTGTTTAGCACTTTAGATTTGTTATCGGTTTCTGATAGATTTTGTTCAGTGATGTATTCTACTTTCCTTATGTTTCTCGGCTAGCAAATAGAGCATAGCTAGTTAATGTGCTTTGGATTCCATGGATTCAAATGGGTTTTGATAATTGTGAAGCAAGTTGGAGTTTGCGTGTTTGAATTTACCAAGACTCGTTGTTGAACACCTTAGATTTGTAATCGGTTTTTTGAATCGTTGAGGTTTTCCATTGATATTTTCAGTGGTTGAGGTTGCCACTTGCCAGTAAGGTTCTTAGAGTGTTTTGCATTTTACTTTCCTTCGATTTATTCGGTTAGCTAATGGAGCATTCGGTTAACTTGTCTATTGCCTAGAGTGTTCAGTGTGTTCTGTAATTCGGATGCTATGAATGAGGTTTTTGTGCGTGGTTGTTCTGAAATGGTTGATATTTTTGCCTACGAGTAAGCTAGAGCTTGTAGGTTTGGATATGTTTAAATTCATCCTAAAACATTTAAGATTACTTTCTGATTAATCTTCCTAATTGGCTTATGAATCTAAAGGTGTTTGATCGATTTTTAAGCTATGAGTTGATGATTTTGGACTCGCTAAGATTCTGAGCTTGCCATTTTACATTCTCTCAGTTTATCACCTTACCAAGCATTCAGTTGAAATGGTCTGTTTTTATGTGTGCTTACTGTTTTTTATTAATGAGAGATTGTGGATTAGGTTTAAAAGGAAGTAAATGCTTTGTGTTTAAGATATGCGGTTATTGTCAAAAAAGATGTGCGGTTATTGTGAAATGGTTGAGGATTTTGATTATCAAGTCAGTTGGAGCTTGTCGGTTTAGGTCTATTTAGATTCATTAGGAAGCACTTTATGTTGTTTTTGCTTATTGATCTTTCCTATTATTTTATGAGTTTGTGAGATGCTTGATAGACTCTCTCTCTTTCTCTCTCAAGCATTGTTGGTTTGAGAAATGAGTTATCTTAGAATACTAGATATGTAAACTTAGTTTTTTCTTTTTGATAAAGTGTGTTTTACTTTGAAATTTGAGAGATGATTTCCTTCCTGTTCAGAGGCTAATCCGAAATTCGTATTATGAGTTCCAGAGTTTTTTTTTCTCTGCATTAATTCCTTGAACTGTCAAAGAATGACTGATGTGGCGTCTTCGATTAGTTGAAAGGTCCAATTCTCCTTTTTTTTTGGGGGGGGGGGGGGTGTTTCCATTTTAATCTTTTAGTCAAGATGCTTTTAGAGTTTATCAGAGGTTATTTTATAATCATACTTGTGGTCTTTTTTAGAAACGAGTTGCAAGTATCTTGGAGGCCTTGGTCTTAATGTTCTTGTCTTAATTGAAACTCACAATATTATTTCCTTCAGCATGGGATGTTTCATCTAAAAAATCCAAATTATGTGAACGGAAATCTGCTTCAGTTTCTGAGATCAACTTTCCTGTTGTACAAGTTTCCTCATTTTGCTTCCTGTATTTTGTTCATTTTATTGCAATTTCTTGACTCTGATTAGTTTCATGATTGTGTAAATAGTCAAGATTCACAACTGACGGATTATGTTTTTTTGTGTTTAGGTATTGTCAAAAAGAACCTGCTCGTCTTTTAGGAAAAATTCTCTAAGCTCCTTTCATCCCAAAGGAAGCTATTTGTTCACCCTCTTTAACATGAAACACTATTCCAATTATTCTAGTGACGAGTTCAATTCATCAAAGCGAAGGTCAAGAGGACCTGTTATGGCTGCAAAGAAAGCAGCTGAAGGTGGGTCTATAATGTGTGCTTGTGTTACTTTTCTTAAATATACTCTTACTGAGAAAGCATTTGTTGGAAGATGTTGCGTCGGATGTTTATATGTTGCATAGATCTATAAGATTGTTTGACTGTATCGAGTCTTTTCGTGAAAAATAAAGGTGGACTGATTTTTCTGAGTATGTGGCTTGCCTGTGTTTGTTTAGGGGGAAAGCAAGAAGATGGAAAATATAAGCACACGGTTGATCTGCCTAAAACAACATTTGGCATGAGAGCAAACTCTTTAGTACGGGAGCCTGAACTTCATAAAATATGGGATGACAATGAAGTATTCAAGAGAGTTGTTGATAAAAATTCAGGGGTGAGTTTCTAAGTTCACCTTGGTTCTCTATTTTGGATGAGTATTCTTACTTTTAGTTACTTTTTTCAGGGTAATTTCATTCTACATGACGGTCCTCCATACGCCAATGGTGACCTTCACATGGGACATGCTCTAAACAAGATTTTGAAGGATATGATTAATCGTTATAAGGTATGTCATTTTCCTAACTACGCTGCCCATTATGTTGCTTTTGAGCTTCCACTCTTATGCTTTCTAGCCTTGCAGTAACTCTTGCTTAAGCTTTCATCCCGCCTTCCCTGATTCAACCAATATTCTAACACATTGATTGGTGATCATTATTGTTTTCCCAGCCCAAAAAGAAAAAAGATCTTAAGATATTACTGGAAAATAGCATAATGTGTTTCTTTTTTCTTTTCTTTTCCTACGACAGCTTCTTCAAAATTATAAAGTTCATTATATCCCTGGTTGGGATTGTCATGGCTTACCAATTGAGTTGAAAGGCAAGTATCCCTTTTGCAGTTCACTTTTACTAGTGTTGGCCGATGACTTGTATTTCGATATTCATTTTGTTATTATCTTCACATTGAGATGACTTGCATTCTACTGCTCTTGATGACACCTTCGATGAGCTTTGAATAACTAGAAACTTGCTCCAAAAACTGATTAAGTAAGAGCACAAGTGAAAAAGGATGAGTACAAATTTAAAATGATCATGACGTTATAGATAGTGATGTCCTTACCTCTATGGCTCCGATTTTAATAAGGAATCTTGGTTAAGAAATGTCATGCCACTGGCTGGAGAGAGGAAATTTAATTTTGCAAGACGACAATATATGTATTTAGAGCCTAAGGGGCAATTCTTTTTAACTTTTGATTTTGGATAAAAGTAGAAATGTTCTTGCTGTGAGTATTGTGGAGATTAAGGATAAGATCCTAATACATGCTTTGGTCGACATTTTAATTATTAGTTCTGCAGTCACTGGATGAAACTACTAGAAAGGATCTCACGCCTATAAAATTGAGAGCAAAGGCAGCTAAATTTGCAAAAGGAACTGTCAAAACTCAGATGGAATCATTTAAGGTAACACATCTCAGTTAGTTGTTTTGTAGGTTGACATCTGAATTTGTACATTGTTGCGATTTTACTTGGTGACTTTGTTTTTCCCTGTCACATAGAATGTATATGATGTTGGACCCCAGATTGGAGAAGAATATGGTCCATGGGTTCCATTTATTGGAACTATGTTTCTATTTATTTTTGTTTCGAATTGGTCAGGGGCAAGTCCTGTCTTCAAAGATCTGATTACAAAAGTTATACTGAGGAGTTTGGATATTTACTTGAGAAATTAATTGTATTATCAATTAATTATCTGATGTTTCAGCGCTATGGAGTATGGGCGGACTGGGATAATCCCTACCTAACTCTGGATCCAGAATATGAAGCTGCGCAGGTAACAATTACAGCTCCATTCAAGTTACAACTGTGGGCGAGTTAAATCAGACTTTTACTGCTTTGGATCATCTTTTGCCTTTGTCCAACCTTTTTCTTTTTCCTTTTTTTTTTGGAGAAACTATAGAATTTTTTTTTTTGGAGAAACTATAGATTTTTTTTTTTGGAGAAACTATATATATATATATATATATATATATTGGGAAGTACAGAGGATTGTTGGTAACATTGTATTATACTCGACAATTCTTGATGAATTTTTCTGGACAGTTAGCATTCAATTAAGCAGTTTGCTTCAGATTCAACCTACATATTCCTTTGAATTTTTGATCTTATATTTGATTGTCCCACTTTTTGGTTTCATGTGTGTTGTATAATCTTGTAGATTGAAGTGTTCGGCCAGATGGCAATACAAGGTTATATCTACAGAGGTAGAAAGCCAGTTCATTGGAGTCCCTCGTCACGGACTGCTCTTGCAGAGGCAGAGTTGGAGGTACATCTATTCACTTGTCATTTTCTGCTTAATCTAACATAAACGAGTTTGCAACTGAAGACATTTTTAAACTAAGGAATTCCCCTATACCATTGAAGAGCTTTTGAGTATTCAGATTTTAGCTAGACCATGTGCAAATTATACCATGCTATCATATTTATTCTCAACAACAATCTTTCCTCTGAGCTACTTTGTTTATTCCAAACCTATTTTATCCAAGTGAAAGCACAATTGGGATCAGTTTAAAGCTTTCACTATCCAGTTATTTGATGAGACATTAGGGAAAAAAAATCGAACGACAAGATTTGACTCTTATAAATACACTCGCATATTCCCCTCTTTCGTAACAAAGAAGCACTTTGTAAGTCATTCAACTTCTGAAAGTTTTGAGGCTTATACTCAAGTTATGCTTCATGTTACTTTGATTTAGTACGTAACTGGAATTTCATTATGCAGTATCCAGAGGGGCATGTTTCAAGAAGTATATATGCCATTTTCAGATTAGTGACTGCACCTCCAGTTTTGGGTGGCATATTAAATGAGTATCTCCCAAATTTGTGCTTGGCTATTTGGACAACAACTCCATGGACTATTCCAGCCAATGCTGGTGGGTTTTGCTTTTGTACTTAAACAATCTTTTGAGATTGTCAATGCCTGAAAATCTCTTATCATTTCAGTCGGTCTAATACTCTTTTGTCCGTTAGGGGTGAATTGAGAAACTTAAATTGAAGAAAATCATGTGTTGTCATCATATATAAACATTCATGAGCCATAACATATCAAATTTGTCAATAGTTTATTTGTTTTTCCTTATCTTCTCGTATGCCATAGATTCAATGTTTCTTAAATGTGGTCATCTCATGATGTGAGCAATCTTGATAATTTTACAATTATTCTGCCGTTATCATATTTACAGCTGTTGCTGTGAATGCCAAGCTTCAATATGCCATAGTTGAAGTACAAACACTCTCAGAAGATGCATCTTTATCTGCTGGAAGTAAAAAGAGACAGCTCAGAAATGTTCTGAAGGAGAAAAAGAAGCCTTTCCTGATTGTAGCTTTAGATCTGGTGCCAACATTAGAGGCAAAATGGAGTGTGAAGCTCGTTGTCAGAAAAACACTGTCGGGTTCAGATATTGAAAACTGCAGGTGACAGAAGATGCTAGAAACCCAAACCTGATTAATGCTTTTATTTTTTATTGCATGTTTCATTTCATAAAATGATGTGTACTTAAATGAACCATCTATTGGCTAAAGTGTGCTTTCTAATTCCGGTTTCAGGTATATTCATCCGATCAGTAATAAGGAATGTCCAGTTGTTGTTGGAGGAGATTATATTACAACAGAGTCAGGAACTGGACTGGTCCATACAGCTCCGGGTCATGGTCAGGAAGATTACGTGACTGGCTTGAAGTATGGACTGCCAATTCTTTCTCCTGTTGATGATGATGGGAAGTTCACTGAAGAAGCTGGACAATTCAACGGGCTTGATGTGCTTGCAGATGGCAACGTTGCTGTTGTCAAATATTTGGATGAAAATTTGTCACTTATAATGGAAGAACCTTATGGTAAGTCTTCTTTTATTTTTGCTTGAACCAATGATGAAGTACTGCGACCTGTTATGGTTATGAACTTTTCCGTTTGCTCTTTTGAAGCACACAAGTATCCATATGATTGGAGAACAAAAAAGCCTACGATATTTAGGGCAACTGAGCAATGGTTTGCATCAGTCGAAGGATTTCGCCAATCTGCCATGGATGCTATTGGTCACGTAAAATGGATTCCAGCTCAGGTATTCATTTAAGCTGCATAAATGTCATAGGCACTGGACTGGACTTGCATGTTTGGCTCATCTATTTCTTTTGATTTTGAAATTTGTGGTTCTCATCTTTTTGATATAACTCATCACTGGTGCACAGCGTGATATATATTTTCCTGCCTTTTTCTTTAGTTTGTATAAATAAAATAAAGAAAAGGTTATCATCTAGGGTTGATGGAATGGTTGTTCCTTTGCTGTAGCGTTGGGTACTAACTCAGTAGCCACTAGGGAAAAGGTGATACTGGTAAATGTACGAGGGATTCCTCATTTTGTTACAAGAATACCAGTGTTCTTTCATTCCTCTGGAAGACGTGAAATGGACTCCTCAAAACATCTAATTTCCTGGCAAAGTTCTTAAATGGTGTTTGTGAATGTAAAGCTGATGATAAACATCGTGAAATCTGTCAGTACTTAGTTTTCATGTGGGACTTATTCATAACTTTCTAGGCTACTTTTTCTTCTCAACCATATTCATATTGTGTTGGTGTTATCTCGTGTGTGTGAATGAGCATTTTTTTCTTCAGGCGGAGAACAGAATTTCTGCAATGACTTCTAGCCGGTCTGATTGGTGCATCTCTCGGCAAAGGACATGGGGTGTTCCAATTCCAGTGTTTTATCATGTGCAAACAAAGGAACCTCTAATGAATGAAGAAACTATTGATCACATAAAGTGTAAGAGCCATTCACTTATAGCAATCATTTCCTCCTCACGACTTGCAGTTTGAGTTCAAGATTTCTCTCTCTCCGACCCATCCTCACTTGTGCCAACTTCTTAATGAGCAAGCGCACAACGTGCATGGATAGATGGAATGATCCATGTGGATATTCTGCATTTGATCATCTCTTACTTTGATGGAGCTGTTAAAGGTGAACAAAATCTTATTCTTTCAAGTTATTCGTGTTGGCAGCTATAATAGCTCAAAAGGGTAGTGATGCCTGGTGGTACATGAAGGTGGAGGATCTTCTCCCTGGTAAATATCGTGATAAAGCATCAGAGTATGTGAAGGGGACTGACACGATGGATGTATGGTTTGATTCAGGTATTGCAATTAAGTGTAAAGTGATGCATTTAACTGCATATATGCAATTTTTTTATGCCAATTGCCTCATCAATATCCTGTTGATTCCTGATGCATGTTCATAATTGCATTTGGTTTCTCATTTTTGTCGCAGCATTTTATAATTATCCATAACTTCATTTATAATTGTTTCTTTTAATGGATTCTGATGTTAAATTCTTTCTATTTCAGGTTCTTCTTGGGCTGCAGTTTTGGGAAGAAGGAATGGCCTGAGTTTTCCTGCAGATCTGTACGTGGAAGGCACAGATCAGCATCGTGGGTGGTTCCAGAGTTCCTTATTAACAAGCATTGCTACGAAAGGTGGTATCTGGACATAATAATATCTCCCCGCTTTATAATGTTTTTTACATTTAAAAATTTTAGTATTTAGTATAATATCTTTGTTTTTTTAATGATGTGTACATCATAAAGAATGGTTTAAGGATATTTTGTTACCCATTCCTAAGATAGATCACACTTCCATGAATATGAAAAAGAATAGTTCTAAGGTTAGATCTTCTGGATTTGAATATTTGACTGCTTACTAGTCTTCCGCCCCTTAACTACAGTAGAGCAGAGAGGTGCAGTCCAGTAAAATTCTGATCGGTCCTTTGATCCTAGTGCTTTTTTTTTTCCTAGTTATAAATTCCTAAACCAAGTAGGATTTTGTATTACAGGTATTTGTTAATCAGTTAGACACTGCATGAATTTTTTCACTTATCTTTGGTACAGGACAGGCTCCATATTCTAGTGTTATAACTCACGGATTTGTGTTGGATGAGAAGGGTCTAAAGATGAGCAAATCTTTGGGTAATGTTGTAGACCCACAAAGTGTGATAGTAGGAGGAAAAAACCAAAAGGTCAGTCAATTTTGAATGTTTTGCATCTCTTTTTACAATTGAGTCATCCTAAAGGAATATATGAGCGGATTGCGTAATGGTCTTGTTTCTTACTGGCAGGAAGCACCTGGTTATGGTGCTGATGTATTGCGACTCTGGGTTTCCAGTGTAGACTATACAGGTGATGTAATGATTGGTCCTCAAGTTCTCCGCCAAATGTCAGACATTTATCGGAAGCTACGAGGAACATTGAGATACCTTTTGGGAAATCTACATGATTGGCATGTATGTTTCATATGAGTTATAATTGGTTTTGAGCTAAGCCTTCAGGATCCAAATTCATCCTTCCTACTTACCTGAAATCTCTTTTCACAAATACTGCCTCTTATTTCCACTTGTGTGGCAATGCTGTACGCTGCAGTTCCATCTATCTATTTGTTGCTTCTACTTAGTGTATATTATATATAACTCTACCGTCCTGGCAGGCTGATAATGCTGTCCCATACCACGATCTTCCCATGATCGATCGGCATGCCCTATTTCAGCTTGAAAATGTTGTAACGAGCATTAGAGAGAGCTATGAAAACTATCAGTTCTTCAAGATCTTTCAGGTAAAATTTCTCTGATATCATTGATTTTCTATTTGGAGCTATCATCTTGTAGTTAGTAGTATAAATGTGAGAGTGAGGAAGAGAGATATAATGGTTTGCTTTTCTCTCTTAAAAAAAAAAAAAAAAAAAAAAAAAAAAAAAAAAAAAAAAAATTTTATTTTATTTTTTTTTTTTTTCTAAAAAAAAAAAAAAAAAAAAAAAAAAAAAAAAAAAAAAAACAGTTTGATTAGTATATTCTCTCTTTTTATTTCCAGGTCATTCAACGGTTTGTCATTGTTGACCTTTCAAACTTCTACTTTGACGTTGCCAAAGATCGCCTCTATGTGGGGTAATTCTTCTCTGCTCTATCTACAAATTTGTAGTTAGTCCTATTTCCTTCCTGCCATTTTTCATTAATGATCTTGTTGCCAACACATGCTTTGCAATTCTGGGCACTTTTTCTTTTATTTTATTCGCATAACTCAAACTTTTTTCTCCTACTAAGATGGTCCTAAGATATGTGAACAAGGAGATAGTTTAATGTAGGAGCTGCTAAATATATATAAAAAACATGCCAATTTTACTACAATAGAAGCATCCGCTACATGTGTAAAATTAAAGAGATTGATATTACAGGGGTACAACAAGTTCCACTAGGAGAAGCTGTCAAACGGTTCTTGAAGCACATCTCCTTTCCATTGTAAGAGTGATAGCTCCTATATTGCCGCATTTGGCTGAGGACGTATGGCAGAACCTCCCTTTCAAGTATACCAAAGAAGATGGATCTATCGCTGAGTTTGTTTTCGAATCGAGCTGGCCGGCTTCAAACAAAACCCGGCTTTCATTCCCAGCTGAAGAAGTGGATTTCTGGGAAAAAATTCTTGAGGTAATACAACAAATCAGTCTTATTGAACTTCATGTTTGAATGGATACACATCTTAAACGTTGTTTTGCTTGCTCGTGCCCAATCGTAATCACTTTTGACCAGCTGAGAACCGAGGTGAATAAAGTCCTGGAGGTTGCTCGTACTGGAAAGTTGATCGGCTCCAGTTTGGAGGCCAAAGTTTATCTCCATACTTCCGATGCCCGACTGGCCTCAAGATTACGTGAAATGTGTGAAGCCAACAATGATGCGGACACATTGCATCGAATTTTCATTACATCTCAGGTAATTTTCTTGTTGCATGCATTAATTACATCTGAACATGTTTCTGTATTTACATGTTAATTATTTTTTAATGATATATGCAGGCAGAGATTCTTCCATCCATGGAAAATGAGCTTACTGGGAACGTTCCACACACTGGAGAATGCCTTATCCAAGGGAAAACTAAAGTCTGGATCGGTGTATCCCGTGCCGAGGGCGGTAAGTGCGAAAGATGCTGGAATTTCTCGCTTCAAGTCGGTTCCTTTTCGGAGCACCCAACTCTTTGCAGCCGTTGTTATAACGCGGTCAGTGTTCAGCATTTTCCAGCTGTAGCAATGGCCACTTGAAAATTTTTTCAAGAGTCAACACAGGTAAAACTTTTTTTTTTTTTTTTTTTTTCAAATGTTACTGATACAAAAATTTTGGAGTTACATGGCTTCGTGAAGTGCTGCTCCTTTTCCGCACGGATGAATTTTCGATAAGGTTCATTTTTTATTCTGTCATTGATAATTATAAAGCAATAGAAGCGGCTGATTTGCATCTGTTCTGAAAATAGCTTGTTAAGTACAGTTTTTGTTTTAATCGAATTTACTGGTATTTTGGTAGTATTTAAACTCTTAGGTCTCGTTCATTTCACCGATTTAAATTTAAAATTTGAATTTTGTTACAGTAAAAAGCTCTAAAAAAAATCACATCTAACTTTTTTGTTACAGTAAAAAATTTTCATATAAAGTAACATCTCAACTCAAATTAAAAATTCAAATCAACGAATTAAACAAGTCCTTAATATGCTCTTCATTTAAAGGAAACGATAAAATAAAAATAAATACTGGAATATATAATTCGTTTATGAATTGGGTTATTTATTTTACAACCGCATAGATAAAGAAAAGCTAGTATGTGGTGAGATTTGTATTCAGTTTTGGAGTTAGGGATGTATAATTGGTGGCTTTAGCGACATGTGTGTGTGTGTTGACGACATTTTATTTATTGAATTAGTAATGTACATGAATCTAACAGAAGAATGTATATTTAACGAGGTATTTGCATTTCTTTTTGTATTTAGATTTTTATTTTCTAAAAAAATCTGTTTATTGTCGTTCATTAGGATATATTCTCCTTTCTGATATAAATTCCGACTTTTTTTAATTTTCTTGTCATTTTACGTAGTTTTATTTATTTTTTCATGCCGTCGTTAGTGTTTCATCGTTGTCATTTTGTGAAATGTTTTCAGCTCTTTTCCATTATTGTCGATTTGAAAAAAAATCTCATTTGCGTCGTCTGGAAAAAAATTATTTCGGTTTGTAAGAATGTCGTCTTTAGGTATCAAATACTTTTTCCAGTTGTAAAACGACAGTGATTTTACATATTACCGCCGTTTGTGGAAGGTCGTCGTTTTCAAAATTTTTAGCACGATGCGTAAATTGAATAATTTTTAGCACGATGATTAATTTGAATAATTTTATACGATATTATGTTAACATATTCAATGTTTATCCGCATTAAATATATAAATCATTTTAGCACGATGATTAAATTGAATAACTTTATACTAAGAGCGTGTGGGTGCCCAAAAAAAAAAAGGAACAAAATAACCTCATGGTTGTTTGTCCCTAAAAAGTGGACATTTATTAAGTTGCCCTTGCTCGTTCAGTGCAATAAACTAAATGCTTCTAAAATCATTTCAAGAATCAGCTAAATTGAAAACGCAAGTACCCCCACATCGTTTAGATGTTTGTAGCTTCTCATTCTAAAACTGCATGTCGTTTTTGAAGTTTGAAAATGGTAGCATAACATGACAGCGACTTGGCGTTTGCTATTTTACTTGTCTTCAACAATTAACATACTAGCACTTGGTTAAAAAGACTTAATAAAAAAGCTTTATTAGTGAAATAATCTTTCAAAATTTTAGTTTGCAAAAGCCGAAGGGTTCTTTCGACATAAAAATTAATAGGTGATTTTGCTAACTTTTTTTTATAGACCCTATTTGTTTCACTGATTTAATTTAATTCAACTCAATTCAAACAATAAATATAATTTAAATTCTTGTTTCATAAGCACACAATTCGAATTATAATCTCCATTTGAACTTAATCAAACTGTTTAACTTAGAATTTAACTCTCTTCTTAAGCTAAAGCATTAAAATTATTTTTGAACAATAAAAAAGTGCTCTCTACTTTTCACACCTATCAAACACAAATTTAAATTTTATTTCTTATTCAAATTAAAATTTTAACTGCACGTCTAAACGCTAATTTAAACTACAATTTAATCACAGTTTGAATTTTTTTGTTCAAATAAAAAAATTCAAATCAATAAAATTTAAACTAACAAACCAAAACGAAGGTAGTCAAGTTTTTAGATTCTTTTGTAAATTACGTTTCACGAGCGTGCTGTCGTTTATGTCACGATATGTACATTCTACCTATTCAATTTAAAAAAAAAAAAGGTTGTGCATCGGATAACAGCTTTAGCACGCGATGCCAGAAAGACCCTCAGAATTTTTGCACCAATCACTCAAAATAATAAACTAAGTCATAATTTACAGGGATTGACCCTAAATAACCGAGGAGTAATAATGAACTTCCTCGCATTTGAAAAAGGTTTATGTTACAACCAAGATGCAACATGTTAAAAAAAAAAAAAAAAAAAAAAAAAAAAAAAAAAAAAAAGAAGAAGAAGAGAGATAGAGAGAGAGAGAGAGAGAAAAGATTCCATCAAAGATCTTAAATAAAAAAAGAACATTATCCATTCAATGTGTTAAGCTGTGCACCTGAACTTGGAGATGGTTGTGCAAGCAATTCAATGTCATCTAAATCCTGCGATTGAATGGGTATATCCTGGAAACAATAAAAAATACGCGACGACAACATAAACAAACGCAAGCATAAGTAAACAATGGACTATAAAACACACACACACACACACATATAATTATCTATATAACATATATTTTATATAACATATATTTTAACTAGTGATGAAAATCTATATCATGATATGTATGGACGCAAAAGCATTCACTAGCACAAAGATGTCTACTCGTTTCAATATTTTGAGGGGCCCAAATTCCAGAGTGCGTTTGAAATTCGTTCCAAAATGATTTTAATTTTTGTATGAAAATGAAAATGAAAACGTTTTCAATTTCAAACAAAATCATTTTAAAAAATGCGTTTTAGAAGTTTTATTAAGAGATTGTTTTCAGTATAAAAAAACCCATTAATATCTCTCTTTCTTTTTGCTCGAGAGAGGAGAAAATAAAAACAAAAAATGAAAACGACTAAAAGTCGTTTTTCATTTCTCTCATTTTACACTAAACCAAAAAATCGTTTTCATTTCCGTTTTTTGTCTTTATTACGCCAAACGTCATTTTAGAAACGTTTTCATTTTTTCTTTCTCAAAAAACGTGAAACAAAAACGGGATCAATTTTAAACACGGCCCCAGTTTTTTCCTTCGTTTTGCATGGAAATTTCTCTAATTCCTACAACTGAATATGGTAACTTGTAGCGCAGAGAGAGAACAGAGCTATATTTGGTTCAGCTTTATCATAAATAGCCCTAGGGGTTAGCGAATAGTACCTGTGTTTGTATTAGCTGGTTCGGTTGCTGATCTTGGGCCAGTGCATAAGCTTGTGGTTGGGACATTCTATAGTACGGTTCTTTCAAATCAAGTTTGCAAGATGATGTTTGAAGTATCCCTCCTTGTTCGGCACCGGGGCCCCACATTTTAGCTGTCAGAAAAGATAACTTGTTAGTAAACTGTTAAACCACAAAACTCGGCCAATACTTGGCAAAGTATATGAAGACAACCTGACAGTGTTAGATATATGGTATAGCTTTGAGCATCATGGGCAACCATGCGGAGGCGTCCTGTAATTTCTTGTCCGGCCATAACGTAAATTGGCTGAGAGAGAACACAGCGTAACTGGTACCAGTGAGTTGTCGGTGCACCAGGGGCGGTGGTAAGCCACCTTTGAACAGTGCTGAGGATTAAGCAGTTGGGAAACATTTAAGGAATCAACTAATGACCTAAAAAAAAGTGTGGGAGGAAAAAAGAAAATATGACACCACCTAGGATGCGAGAGATTCATTGACCAAGATCAGATTATTACCTCCCATTGAATAAAACGTCAAACCAGCATGCCAGCCCATGCACTCTAGTGCCAACAGAGGCTATAAATCGCAGTGGTACATCGATTTCATATAAATCTTCTTCCTGCGGAATAAATTAAAAGTGGTTGATTTAAGTGTCAATGTACTAAAAACTAAACGAGACAGTAAACAAAATTTCAAGTAAAATTGTCAAATAATACACTTATACCTCGACTTTAGTGAAGTCTATCACATGAGATATTGAAGGAGCCACCAAAAATCTTGGATCAAAAGCATCTACCACAGGCTGTTAAGAGAACCCCGAGAACAAAAGCTTTAGCAAGACAGCAATGAAAACTAAGCAATACAGACGTCTAATGCTTAAAAAGGTTAAATTAGATATCAAGGTTTTCCTTTCCAGCCTATTAAAATACATTGAACAATAGTAATAGGGACCTGTGAAAAATATCCCTGAAATGCCGATCCATGCAAGGCTGTCAAATCAACGCCATAATAATTCTGCTGCTGCCAGAAAAGGGCCTGTTCATAAATAACAAGAATAAATTAGCCAGCTGAATGTTGATTCTAAGCGTAAAGAAAATTTTATACTAACATGAATATTTGATACTTCAATACTAAAGGACACTCATCACACTGAACAATTTGTGTAAGCTTAATTGCAAGGTGAAGTCATCTCGAAATTATATTTCATACTTCAATAGTAACACTACGACACCGGACACTCATCATACTAAACAATTTGTGTAATCTTAATTGCAACGTGAAGTCAACTTGAAATTATATGCAATGCTTTTGAGGAAGGGGGTTTAACAAACACCATAGCCTATTTGTTAAAATTTCAAACTCAAATATACAGCTTTCTTTTTCTGTTTCTCCATCCATGCGTAAGTTAGATATTATCTATTAACACACTATATCCAAGTAATTTTTCCTACTATTTCCCTAGGAAAAACTACATGCAGATATATACGCACCTTATTTGCAATTTCAACAAATAAATATTCATCACTGAAAGGTGCCATGTGTATCCTACACAAGTAATCAATTTAAAATCATGAGAACTGAAAAGTAACAGATATAACAATTCACATGCCTAAGTACACAAGACAAACACCAAACCATCAGAAGGCAGTAAAAGATACAAACCTTATACTTGAAAAGTTGAAATAAAAATTACAAACATAAGGCGAAAAAAGTTACCAGCGCAGGTTCTTAGGATTTTTGTTGCATAGCAAAGACTTCAAATATAGTCACAGAAACACTTGACAACAAAAACTGTCTACTTGGATGAAAAGGCATGCAAGTCCAAACAACAAATTCCAAAATTTATGATGCCAAATATACTGCTCACATATCATTGTATAAAATAGAGTAGTTTTATAAGAATACAGGTAGGATACAAGTCTGATAAGAGGTGCTAGCGGAATGTTCCTTGACAGCATAATGATAAAACAACCAAAGCAAGAAAATTGCAATATTTAGAAATATTCATTGAATACGTACACAGCAGTAGTGATGCTTATACTATTGCAAGTCAATTTTATTAGTCCATGTTGACTAGTCCATAAGAAAAGCATAACCTTGAGGCTTGAGGTGGGATTCATATCATGCTAGAACCAGTATATTGCAAAATAAAATGTTTTCAAGGATAGTATTACCTTCGAAAACATTTTCCAAAGAAAATTGAAACATTTAGAAACATCCATTGCATATGTACACACACAGTGCTAATTATGCTATACTAGTTCCAAGTCAATATTATTAGTCCACGTTGACTAGTCCATGAGAAAAGCATAATCTTAGCGTAAACCACAATGTTTAGAAGGGTAAAATTACCTTCCAACTGTAGGAAACATTTTTCCATTTGGGACAAGGAACCGATCTCTTGCAATCACATAGGACTCTAGCATTCTCTCATTGACTAATAAGGTGCCTAAAAGCCAACCCAAGAATATAAACAAATAAATAAGCTCACTTAGCTTCCACAAAAATTAGTAGAACTTAAACATACAACAGTTCACTTGATCAATGTATCTATCTTGATAGTATCATTGTAAATAGTAGTGACAAACATTTGACGGGGTCTATGGGAAAATTGTGGATGTCATTTGAAAATGAGCGGTCCAGAGAATCTAATGGTCTAGATAACCAAAAGTTACAAGTATTGGTGGGTTCAACGCAAAAATTGTTGAAAGGATTACATTATAAGAAAATTTTCAAACAAAATTGAACATTGTGGATGTCATTTGAAAATAAGCAGTTCAGGGAGAATCAAGGTTATGATTAATCCAAACACTTGAGATACGGATGATGACATGGTCTCTCTGTATGTTAGAAGTTTATAAGCAAAGGAAACATGATTAAGAAACAGAAAGTAGGAGGGCAAAACAAAAATAAATAGAGAAACAAATTATTATCATCCCACAAAAGCAAGGTTAGTTTAAAACATTACTAAACCCGGGATTAAAATAAAAATAAAAAAAAACAAAAAAATATAACAATTAAAACAATAAAGCAAAGCAAAACAAAAGGCAAGGATGAAAAGTCTTACCCATTGGCTCTGATATAAGAATATCTGCTTTCTCTGGTAGTTCAACCTCCTCAACTTTACCTTTGACCACCTAAGTTTTATACACATACATATTGACCAGCAAATAGAAAAGATAAGCAATAAATAACCTTAAAGCCAACAGAACCAACACAATTCACCGATATGGCAATAAAACTAAACTTGGAAAGAGTCTCACCGTTATTCTCTGGCTCAATGCTGGATTTCCAGCAATTAGTTTGCGCGCATATTCTGCCATTTCAGATGCTTCCACAGCATAAACATGCTTTGCCCCAGCCTAATAAGAGCAAAAGAAACTGATAATAAATCAAGAGGTAAACATACGCACCAAATTTATCTACTCTCAAGAGCCAAAAATTCTTATTACACGCAACTTGGTCAGAGAACAAAGTCCACCTGAGCAGCAAATAACGACAAGATACCACTGCCAGCACCAACATCAACCACCACACGTCCAAAAAAATCAGCACGGTTTTCAATAACAGCAGCATAATACGTGCCTGGGAAAATGTGAATAGCATAGTAAACTGACGTTATGGATCAATGTTCATTTCAGGACTCAGATAATGCAATATTTCTACTTAGACCAACACATTGTTAAACAGGCAGCAAAATGTACCAAATTATTTAAGAAGAAACCTTAAAAATTTTCTTCAACAGCAATTTACATTTTGAATATTAGGTAACCTTTATGAATTAACAGAACATACATAATGCAAGATCCAAAAAAAAAAAAAAAGAACATAACAGCCCAATTAGATTACCTGTCCTAACATAATCCTGTAGCATGTTTTGCTGATGTAGCAGTTGTCCATAGTAATGGAAATACATTTTAGCAGAAGACGGTTCTATTTTATCATCAAACTTGCATTTAGAAGCTGATGGAGCTCCATTTGCTAATTGTGCTTCTGCAAGAGAAAATACAAAGGCAGGAATAAATAAAAAGGCAGATATCATTCTTTAACCAACGCAATATAAGGAAACCATAGACAGGCGGAGGAGAAAAACTATGTCAAATGTCTTATGTCTTCATTACAATGCCATCTTTCACATTTGCACTAATTATACAAAACTGAAGGATCTTCATATACCAATCCTCCTAAAGCTAAATGCAAAACCTATTTATATATTTGAACCAAGTTACTACATAACAACTAGAATTCTCTGTTTTATATGAGTTAGCCTATCTAAATAATCAACTTAAACACGGAATATAAGATCTTCATAAAGTTCTAAAATAGCACCTTGAATAACACAGTCCTTCTTCAGTTGCTCAAATGCATAATGGAAGGCCGTGCTATCTTCCTCACTTCTAAACCGAATAGTCACCCCTCTCGAATACTTCTAGTTAATAAGAAATGAAATATATTATCTATTAGGACTTTCAGTCCTCAACAACCGTACAACATTCATTAACTACAAATAAATTAGCAGATCATCTATAGTACTCCCGAATTTTTGAAAGAAGTTCTCTTAGAAAAGAGTGCAGAAATAATATTCTCAAAACACCTTACCTCTTTGCTGATATCAGACGCTCTAAATATGCAAACCGAGCTAACAGGGCCTAACTTGAATAGCTGAGCAACAAAATACACAAATTAAAACGTATTACAATCTTTGAAGTGGTCATTCATGCCCCATTACGCAAGTAATGAATATTTTAAAGCTCATCGAAGTAAATTACTAAAGAAAAAGCATAAATATAACAAGTTAATTATCATAATTTTGAACTGAATCTTAAAACCTAAAAAGAAAGTAAATAACTAAGCACTAACAAAAATGATCGCTCAGCTCCAGATAAATTTCTTCTTACTTTTACAATGCTAAAAACATTATATATCATTTCCAATTTCGTTTTGTTGTCTATTCATCAACTTTCTCAGAATTCACAAAATGCAACCAAACAAGTTCCTCGCAACCACAAGATTCTTAGAGATCTGAGCTCACTTTCTGCTTCCTTATCATTTTTCCATTTTCCTTCACTTTCTCGGCAATCAAACAAACAACGAAAATCTAATCCGCAGAAAAACAAATGGAAACAAACCTTAGCCGTTCGGAGATCAACATTCACGACAGCGCCCGAAGCGCACTCCATATTAAACCGGAGCTCCGGTATTCCGCAATCGGCGCCGAACCGAGCAATCGCCGGCGGCGAAGACGAAGCAACGTCAGAAGAAGACGAAGACGGAGCGAGGTCAGATACCGAGGCCAAAGCAAACTCGTGCAGTTTCTGAGACTTTTGCCCTACGGGGGCCTCCATTGCCGCCTTCTCCGAGGTCAGTCCCAATCCAACCTCCGTTATTCACACTCGGAAAAGAGAAAACGAACCGATATAGATGTAGATATAGGTGTATCGACGAGGGGTGGAAGGAAATTAGGGTTTCTAGGAGGAGCTAGAGCTTCGAAATTCTTAGAGCCGCCAAAAGTGAGAGAAGAGAGAGAGTGAGAGAAAAATAAGAGAGAGAAGGGAAAACATAAAGCCAAAAAGCCTTTATATAGTGGTGTATGTGGAGTGGATGGTTTCAGTTTAAAGCCTGTGACTGTGAATAGTGTAGACTACCACTGATGTTGCTGTGTGTGTAGAACGCTTCGGACTTTTGGTGCGAGGGAAAAGGCTCGTGCTTCACCACGCGCTCCTTCAATCTTCAATCTTTCTTTTCTTTTTTTTTTTTTTCTTCCAAAGGAAAGTGATGATTACATTAATCACTTTGATAAATCATGCAAAGTGCTCGTTCATTTTACTGATTTGAGTTTAAAATTTAAATTGAGATGTGATTTTATGTGAGAGTTTTTTATTGTAGTAAAAAAGTTAGATGTGACTGTTTGTGAGAACTTTTTACTGTAACAAAACTCAAATTTTAAATTCGAATCAGCGAAACGAACGAGACCTTAATAAAATACGGCAAATTATTCAACCAAAACATTCTTAAGAATCAAAGGAGTGTGACTAGCTTAAGCGTTGGTGACACGATTATCATCTCGAGAGGTATAATATCTGTAGAAAGACATATTTGATATCTTTTCAATCTTAAGGAAGAGAATTATGAAATATATATATATATATATTATGTATATTATGTTTCAGTTCGATATTTATATGGAATTTTTACCTTTATGTGTCTAAGAATTTAGAATGGATTTCATTTTTTCTTACAAAATACTAGGAAGCAACATTCTCAGAATTTTATAGTAGGTATAAAAAATTATTTCATTAACCATATGTAGTTTCATATTGTAAAATCATTGAATCTTGTCACATATGTATTTGTATTTTTTTTTTTTATGTTAATGTGATTTTGATATACTCTGATGATATGGACTTACCTACTATTGATGTACTATATTTTTTATGTTCTTCAGAATTCTAAAAAAAATATTTGGATTAATTCTTCTCAAAAATAATTTTTTTGCATTAAATTTTATAAAATTTATAAATAAGAGATGCTGATCATGTAGACTAACTCACAGTTAATATGATAATGCGTGTACTGTATAATATTTCCTTTCCATTCAAATTTCTGATATTTGCCAACTCTTTAACTTGTCAAGATTATTGTAGTGGACATTTTGCAAAACGCAAAAGTAAATTTTATGTCTAAAGAAGAGGTGGAAATCTAATTAAAGCGAAATAGAGGAGATATTTTTGGAAGTTTTCTTGTTATTATACGGTGGGTCCCTGACATGGAGTCATAGGGTGAATATGCTTTTCTGATTGGACGGAGGGTAATGGGCTCAGAGTGGGGAGGATCCTAATGCGTCGGATTGGGTTGGTTTTGTGGGCCCAAGGAGTGGGAGATATTAATTTTTCTACTTTCTATTTTTATATTTTCGGCTTTTAATTGATAGATCATTAGATATAGGTTGGTGCCTTGGTGGTTAGATTGCTTCAAATGGGAGATTGGAACCCTAACGGATTATATTCGGTGGACTTTACAGGTAAGACTTACAAAGTGAAAAGTGTTATATATTGTGTAAATTGGTCCAAAAAGGTGGAAAATGCAAAATTGCAAATCTACTAAGGAGCAAGAAGAAGAGGACGTATAACTTTGATTTACTTTTTGATTTGGTCCATATAGATTGACAGACTGTATTTTGTGCTAAAGTGGAAAAAAACAATTTCAATTTTACTTAATTCAATTCAATCAAATTGAAAAAGAGTTTGTAAATATATTGTGTACGTTTGGAACTCGTTTCAAAATGATTTTATTTTTTATATGAAAATGAAAATAAAAGCGTTTTCAATCTCAGACATAAATTATTTTTAAAAATGCATTTAGTAGTTTTATCAAGAGATTATTTTCAGTATAAAAAACTCATTAAATTCTCTCTATTTCTCTCTGCTAGAGAGGAGAAAACGAAAATGAAAAATGAAACACGACTAAAAGTCGTTTTTCATTTCTCTCTCATTTTACACTAAACCAAAAAATCATTTTTATTTTTATTTTTTATCTTTATTGCGTCAAACGCCGTTTTAACATACTTTTCACCAGCACTATAAGATTCCTGCTCTTAATTTTTATCTAGATATTAATATAAACGTCAAAATTTTTAAGAGAATAGCACAAAACTAAAAGTGAGTTGAATGGAGCATTTTCTTAACCTTTTTTTTTTTTTAGATTAAACTGAGCAGCATAATTGTTACCAGATGGGCTTTAGGTGTGTTCTTGGCTGGGCTAAGTCAACGATACATCAGGCCCATCACCATAAGAAATCCATTATTGCGATGAATAGCTGAGGGGAATTTTTTTTTTTTTTGTTGAAATAACAGAGGGAAAAAATTATAAAATCTCTTGTTAAATACTACGCAAATTTTACATTCCTTAGAATTAAGGGAGACTTCATGGTGGAAAAAGGTTATTTTATCCATTGGTAGCAACTGTAATTTCCAACTATTAAACTAGTTTTTCAACAGTTATATATGTAGATATCTATATTAAAAATTTAGACTCATATTGCAAATGAAACCCTTAAAAAATTAATCTAATAATCAAAACACAGTTTTTACAAGTGGAGCAAAATAGATTTCTTCACCATAAATGCACACCTTAAACTCTAAAGAAAACTCTAATTACTAATTCAGCAAGATTCCACTCCAATATATAAGATTCCACAAAAACTAGAGATAGCGACTACCTTCAAGTAAGGTTAAGAATCTTTGAAAAATCAATAAAATTTTTATTAATATGAACTTGACATCATGTCTAACTATATTAGACGTCAAACAAGCTCTTCATCTCTCCAAATATAAGAAAGTCCATACCAAACACAATGAGATAAAGGTAGGCCACGTTTGTTTCCGTTTTTATTTTCATTTTTCACATTTTTCGAGACTAAAAAATGAAAACGGAAACATAAAATGCGTTTGGTGTAAAAAATTTTAAAAAACAAAAACAAAAACGCTTTTGTCTTTTCTGAAAAACTGAAAACAAAAAAAAAGTTGTTTTCTCTTTTTCGTTTTCTTTTTCTGAAAACAGATTTCATTTTTTTTTTCTTCTCTCTCTTCTCCACTGCCCACCACCCCCGACTGCACCCCCCTCCCTCACTCCGACATCAACATCGACTGAAGGAGATGAAGGACGCCGGAGATGAAGGACGACAGAGAGAGATGTCGCTGGAGATTCCCTTGCTCGGTGGCTATCGTCAGTCGTCGGACGCTGCCGCCGTCACTACGCCCACGTGAACACCGCCATCAACACCGACTGAAGGAGATGAAGGATGGCAGGAGAGAGAGAGAGAGAGAGAGAGATGCGGGAGATGAAGGAGATGAAGGAGCACGCCCACGTGGACTGCCCCGGCCACGCCGACTATGTCAAGAACATGATCACCGGCACCGCTTAGATGGATGGCGTGATTCTCGTCGTCTCCGGGGCCGGTGGCCCCATGCCGCAGACAAAGGAGCACATCTTGCTCCCCAAGCAAGTCGGCGTGGACTGCCCCGGCCACGCCGACTATGTCAAGAACATGATCACCGGCACCGCTTAGATGGATGGCATGCTTCTCGTCGTCTCCGGGGCCGGTGGCCCCATGCCGCAGACAAAGGAGCACATCTTGCTCCCCAAGCAAGTCGGCGTGGACTGCCCCGGCCACGCCGACTATGTCAAGAACATGATCACCGGCACTATTTAATATATTTATTTAATATATTATTATTTAATATATATTTATTTAATAATATTATTTATTTAATATATTATTATTTTAAATATTATTACATGTTTTCAAAAATTAAACCACCAAACGCAGTTTCAGTTTTTTTTAAAACTGAAATCAATCTCTAAATAAAACTACCAAACGCATTTTAGAAATAATTTCAAAATGAAAATGAAAACGTTTTCATTTCTATTTTCATACAGAAAACAAAATCATTTTGGAACCAATTTCAAACGCACCCGTAATATTCTTCCTGTCTATCTCACTCACAGATAATGTCTTTGAATTCTTCCTCTTTCATTTTCTTTCAATCTCACTAAACATAGCCTAAGCCTAAGGGAGGGTTCAGTGATTCTTCCGGGCAGAACACCTCCGCCATCCTTGATCCAGCCGCCCTTCCCCAACCCTACTACTAGTACTAGAAATCACATTCCTCGTTGCCAAGTAAAGAACTTGACGAATGTGTACTTTCCCAATTGCAAAATGTAGTTGTCGGATCTGATTATTCATGTGGCACCTACAATGAGAAATAAGGTATATTTGCCTTGTTTACGCTTTGAAAAAAGTTCCTAATGGCAATTTCAGAATCTACCAGTTGTACTGAAAATGCAAGTTTCGACTTTATCCTCAGACCCTACTACTAATCTAATAAAGCTCCATTTTCCTTGCAAAGTCACAATCTAAGACCATCTATCAGCCACTCCTTTAGCAAGTTTTAGTTCCTCCATAATATGTTTCCTTTTGTTTCTTCTGGTGGAAAAGATTGAAATTCCATCAAGTACTAACAAATCATTATTTACCAAAGGAGTTAAACAACCATTATTGTTCTTGGAGAAAACGAACAAACCCACATATGATAAGTTCAAACCTCATAGCAATAAACAGAACATTACAAATTTACAAGCCACAAGGACAAATATTCCAGAGAGTACTAGAAGTCCAAGGCAAGCCTACTAAATAGGCAGAAATTGAAAATCACCAAGAGAACATATAAAAGCCCATAAGTAAATTCTCTTATCGACATCTAATAAATATAAGTCAGCAGATACAAGTCTTAATGAGCTAGAAAAAGACTATGCTTCCTTCCAAAAATCAATACAATCTGAGTTTTTTTTTTTTAATATATAAGTAACTACAAAGGATAATCCAGAAACAAAATACAAAAAAACCAGCCATAACTGAACGATTACAAATCGATATGTATCATAACTTATGAGAACCCAAAAAAAAAAAAAAAAAAAAAAAAAAGAACGAATTATGAAATTCTCTGTTTCAAGTTTCAACATTTAACTTCAACTTGAAGCTAAAAATCTAATCACGATGATGATGATGATGATGATGATACCTTAACCGCTTTAAAGGCTGGGTGAAGCAATCCAAGCTCGTCCTTTACTTCAAGAGGATTACTTGTGTCATTCCTAACTCTCTTCACTTTCCGACTAGCCAAAGACTTGTGTGTAAACCCATACATCTGAAGAATCTGATTGTCCCCAAAGTTGAACGCCCTGTCCATTTGCTTCAAACACCTCTCAACAGGATAATCCCCAAACTTCCCACAAGGCTTACACCCCACAAAGTGGGTCACCAATGGCCAACGGTGATCGCCGAGCCCCGGGTGATAGTTATCGATCATTTCCTCGTATCGATCGACCAGAATTCCCCAGTATCCGTGCAGATAGTAAGCGCTTTCCAGGTAAACTTTCTCTCCCCACTTGTCTCTTTCCTTCATCAGGAGATAAACCATGGCGGACTGATCGTCGGCTTCGAAAACCGGCCGGCCTTTGAGCTCTCGTGTCAGAATCTTACCGGCCTCGTCTCGGATTTTGCCTTTCGGTCCCATCGGAGCCCAAGCGTCGAGTATGTCCAACGACCACTGGCAATTCCGAAGCAGGAAGCTTCCGGTGTTGAGACCGATCCAGTTCCTCTCATCGTAAATCATCTCGTTCCAGCCGTGCATTACGAAGTTGTGATCTTTATACCTCTCCCATGGAACCTCGAACGCCATGTCCGTGAACATCGCGTCACTGTCCATCCACCAGAGGAACTCAATCTCCGGATGCGAGAGCAAAAGCTTGCGAATCAACGGAAGCTTCGCCCAAAACCCCGCCATTTCCGCGTCGAGAAGCGCCATGTTGTAGAAGATCTCGATCCCGTGGAGCCGGCAGTAATCGATTTTGTTTTTAATCGATTTGAGAAGGTAATGATCTCCGACGGGATTCTCGCACGGCTTCGGCGAAGAACCGGTGACGAGGAGAACCCTAGGCTTGTTCGGCGCGAGGAAATTGGGGAAACCCGGGTTGTTCTTCAGCCACTCCCATCTCTGCTCGTCCCAATCGGAGATTCTCGGGCCGAGAGTGTAAGGCTTGCTGGGATCGCGCTTCTCGTCCTCGCCTTCGTCGACGAGGATCTTGGAGATGTCGAAGGTGGCGTAGTTGTTGGGGTCGGCGTTCGAAGCGGCGGCGGTACCGGCGTCGTTTTGGGCGGAGGCCTCCTCGAGGACGCGATGGGGTTCGCCGCGGCGGCGCGTGTAGGATAAGTGGTCGCGGATCTCGTTGAAGTCCAGCTCCGGCGTGCCGAACTTTCCGGCGCCGATGGTGCCACGAAGGACGACGACGGTGAGGAAGAGGCACAGAAACGTCACCGTTCCGTGGCGAACCGCCCTCTGGATCTGCCGGACCCGGCGGACTCCCAGGCACCGCTCCAGCATTTCTTCTCTGACTCGCCCTGAGTTAACACGGGGACTCGAACAATTCGAGGTTTGAAGAAGGAAGTGTTTTTTCTTTCACCCTTTTTCTTCAGGATCTGAAAATGGAAGGTCTCAATAAGGAGACTAAAACGATTGGGGTCAGGATCGTAAATAGAAGGAACTTTTGGGGGGGGGTTTTGGGAAAATTAAGAAAATGGAGAGTCGGTGGAGCTGAAGAAGGAAGATCCAGAGAGAATGATAAATGGGTTTCAGACAGTGTTTCCGACAATTTGCTTTACCTTCTTTATTTTTTTAAGATGGCACATTCAGCTTATTTTAGAACGTATTTGGTAGGAGAATTCGTGTTTTGATTTAAATTATAATTTATAATTTTTTATAATTTTTTTTAAATTTTTTTATAAAAATTATACATAAATTAAAAATAATTTTAAATTATAATTTATAATTAATATATTTTCAAACGTGTCATGTTCGAGGAAAAAGATACTATGTGAGGGAGTAACAATCTGGTTTTCTGTATCCTACTACAGAAATCCGACTTTTTGGGCTTGACCAAGTATGAAAAGCAAAACAAAAATATTAAGTGGACAAACATTGTAACAAAAATTGTCTATATTTAATTCCATTAAAAAAAAATGTCTATTTATATTCGTCAATGTAAATATTACTTCCCAACAAAATGAAATAAAATAAGGAAACTGTATTAAAAAAAAGGAAAATGATATAGAATTCTTTATTTTTTTCAACTAATAACTAAGAAAAAGAAAAAGAAAAACTAGCAATAGAAGAACTTTCTAGTACAATAAGGAAAGGAAAAAAAAAATCTAACGGTGGTCATTATCCTAAACGGTCAGATTTTTTATAATTTTAATAAAATTAATGTTTCAAGGTTCTTTTAACTCATTTATCACATAAATCTATTTTTGTAAATCAAAATCCATCTTATTTTTATTTGTCAACTCAACATTACTACCGGACAAAATGAAGTGATAAGGAAACGTTAAAATTCTTTCTTTCTTTTCTTACAACCAACTAAAGCTACCAAATATATATATATATATAAATTTATGTGAATATGAAAACTTACGTGCTTACATCACAATATATGAATTAGGAAAAACAGAGCATGTGTGTGTGTTCACTTGTTGCAAGCTGTATAATTTTGTGAATCTATTTAATTATTTATTTGAAGAGGTGTCTAAGCTGCACATATCACATGGCTTTCATTTCAAGCTCATGTTGACGTAAACATGTAACACATATATGTACGCGAGTTTCTCATCAGACCGAAAAAAATAAATTATTAATAAATTTGTTTAATTTGTTTAATTTGTTTAATTTATATTAAAAATTATTTATTATTTATATTTTTTTCAATTTCATATAATTTTAATAAAATTTAATGGTTAAAAATTGTAATATTAATAAGCCCGTTTACCGAAGAATGTCCGAATATATATATAGTTGTGTTGGCGAAATGTCCACACAAGGACGGTCCCAACCTAAGGAGTGCAGACAGAAAGTGGGATTTTAACCCTCATGCCCTTGACACTTTCTAGCGGATCTCACTTCTTATTGTTCTTTAAAATTCTCATTAGTTAATAGTTACCCTAGCAAAATTGGGCGTGAAATTTTGTTATATTTGGTATTATTTTTAGAGAATTTCTCTCGTATTTCATGCTTATCAGTAGTCAAATTTATATTATTTTTTAATTTTATTTAACTTTTGACTAGATTTAATACATATCTAACGACTGATAAACTGAGAATATCGGTCTTTTGAATATTAAAGAAAGTCTCTTATTTATGTGCGTTCTTAGCATCTCATTTGCACCGGCGGCCAAAGAAAATCCTATTTCGTTACATAAAATAATGAAGCGTATAAAAGGGGGAAATTACACCATGCTTTTTATTTTTTTTATTTTTTAGTAAGATTTTTCTGATAAATACTGAAAAAATGAACTAGACACTCCTCGGGCGCATTTAATTAATAATGCTTTTGAGTTTTTTCTTGAGAAGGAATAAACCATATTTTGAGATTTCAACCATATTTTGAGGTGTATCATGTGAGATGTCATGGAGTTAAAGATGCAAGTAAGGTAGGAAAATATTTATATATTTTAAGGTCTTTTTCTATTAAGGTCAGTTTCTGATCGTTAAATATAATCAAAATCACATCAAATTGAAAAAAAAACATACCGAACAAATAATTTTGTTACAGATTTCGCAGTTAAAAATAAAATATTATTGGTGGTTTATTTTTCATACTCCTACAAAAGAAAATCACTTTAAAAAAACGATATGAGTTTCCAATATTATAACGATTTGATTACATTCAAAACCTTACCAGTTTATTGTACTCACTTAAATATTTTGTGAGTACATATTTTTTATTAATACAAAGGGTATATGATATTATTCTAAAATCACTCTTAACCTCCTTAAGAAAAAAAAAATCACTCTTAACTTTGTGAGTAAAACGCGCATACGTGTTGATTTAGAGAACTGATTTAAAATCCGCCGAAAAAGAGCCTGTGTGGATGTGTGTAGTGTCAAGTACGGTAGGACCATGGTTTGGGCATGGCACGACATTTGTGGCTTCAGCGGAAACAAGACCATAGTCGTGGACCTGGTTCAGAAGAGAAAGGGACTTGAAATCACAATGGTTAGGTCACGCTGAGGGCCCTTTGAGCTTTTGGCCATTTGGCCTTTTTTGTTTTTTGTTTTTTTTGTCCTAATCAATACTATGTCCATTTAATTCGCTGAGATGTGATTTTATATGAAAACTTTTTACTGTAATAAAAAAATTAGATATGACTGTTTTTAAGAACTTTTTACTGTAGCACAACTCGAATTGATAAAATGAACGGGGTAGTCTTTTCTGTTTTTGTTTTTATTTTTGTTTTTGTTTTTTGCTAATCAAACCATTTGGTCTTTTTTTGTTTAACCGTGCGTCGTGATAGTGGCGCGGGCTGCGGTTGTTTATCGGACGTGAATATTCTAATGCCACTTACAATCTTAAATTTTGAAAAGGAGAAGAATTGGGTCTTATGTCCAGGTTCAAACACGAGGGATATTGTCAAAGGGACTTTCAAAAGCCAAAAAAAAAAAAGTCAAATACAAGTTATCTGATAACTAAAACAAAAAATTAAAAATCTTTATAGTTTTGTTAAAAAAATAATAACAACACTTGGCCGTTTACTTGGACGACATATCGCCACTAGAGAATTATGGTAAATAACCATGACACATTTATTAGTTTGAATATATACCACTTTAAAGTTATAATTTAAGAATTCAAATTTCTTGTTCTTAAGGCGAAAAAAAAATCTCATTTAAAAGTGAAATTTCAGGCCGGATCAAAATGTAATTTAAGAAAAAATTACAAAAGATATGTCCGGATTAGGCTGACATGATCTAAATAAAGTTTTAGATTTAAAATCTATCGAACCAACCCGACCCAAACAAGTAAGCAGACTAAATTAGGCCAATAATATTAAGCCTCATGCTGACTCATTAGCTCAGCTCAAACTTACAACTTTAATTTCATTCAACACAAAAACATGAAAAAGGATTTTCATTCCAATAGTTATGAGTTTCTAACTAAACATTCATTACAATTATAGACATCAAAATTTGAATACCCAAATAGGATTTTTCCTCAATGTGAACAATTCTCTCACGCCCCTAGTAACATCTAGGACCAACATACCAAAAAGTTCTAAGAAGTAACCTAATTATATTTTCTTTTTAATAAAAAAAGCCTCAAAATCTCTTAAAAAAATTCAAAGTAAATAAGCTTATAATTAACAAGAGTAAGATAAGCCACCCAAGCCAAACAAGGCTTCATGAGATCTTTAGCAAACGGATTGACGCGTCGAAAGCTTCGGTAACATGCAAAGAGAGTCCCAAAATGAACCAAGCAAAAAACCAAGCCAAGCGAAGCGGCCCCAATCACCAGCACGAGTGGGTCCCACACGATGCTGAGAGAAATCTGAGCAATGTAAAGGGGCAGCGCGTCGGGGTGCGCGTGGAACCCACCGTCGGCCCAAAAGAGCCAGGCGGCGAAGCCCGTGAGGAAGGACGAGCCCAACGAGGCCAGGTGTACGAACCAAAGTGGTGGGAACCAGAACGGCTTGGTGAGGGACCGGTAGCGCTTCCCTGAGCCGAAGAGGAGGATTATTGTCATGGTCAACGAAAGGGGGACCGATACCGCAATGAAGAGGGTCCAAAGGGCTCTCTTGGCTTTGGCCTTTTTTTCTTGTCGTTTTGTCATTTTGGTGGGGTTGGTGGTGGTTGTCGTTTGGTCGAGCATGAAACCGTGATGAGGAGTTTTGGAAGAATAAAAAGGAGAAGAAGTAGAAGCCATTGTGGTGAAATAATGGTAATTCTTTATTGAGTCATGTTTTGTGTCTGTTTTTACTCTTTACGTGGTGATTGTGTGTGAGAAAGGAGAGGAAAGGAAAGAGGAGAAAGGTTTTGAACGGGGAAAATTATGTTAGACTTTTGGGGGGTTGAAAATTGAGATGTGTAATGAGCGTTTTGGAGCAAATTTAGGACTTTCTCAAAGAAAGTTTTTGGTAATGTTTGCGTTCCTCCTAAAGATTATCGTGTTCACGTCCGATTTCTAGCACTTGCACTCCTTTTTTATTTTTCTTTTTTTTTTTTAGCATTTTTTTAAACGGAAAATGCATTTTATTTAGGGAGCGTTTGGTTGGTAGATTCGTGTCATGATTTGAATCGTGATTCGTGGTTCGTTACAGTATTTTCTCTCATAAAAAACACACGTAAATCGAGAATAATTCTGAATCATGATTCTGAATCCATCAATCAAAACTATTTCATGTAAAATGTTATTAAATTAAGTTTCTTATTGACCTTGTGAAAAATAGTATTGTATGATTTGAGATTAATGATTTGTTTTTAAAATTAGTCGAAGAAAAATCATGAAAACGCAATTTAAACACCAAAATCTCGTTCTACGTTGAGGAAACATGATTGGTTTCCCCTTATATAAATTACCTTGTGTATTTTATGCATTTATGTGTGATTTGTATTTAGTCAATTCCTTGATTTAGGATGATTTTGGTTAGGTATCTTACCAATTTTTTATATTCAATTTTATGCATTATATGTATGTATTCATTGTGATTGATAGAAAATTATGTCATTTTCAAAATTCGATATTAACAGATAACCTGTTATAGTAAATTTTAATAAAATGTTTAAGGAAAAATAATATGGCAGATGAATATTATATTTTTTTTTTATAATTTTCTCTAATTTTCGTTTTTGAAAAATAAAAAAAAATAAAAATGATGTCAAAAAATTTTAAAATTTTGCAGACACGATCCTTACATTTTTCTAAGCATGCTTGTAAAAAATGGTCTCAAATTATGAAAAAAGAAAACGCTGTCAAAAAGCACTCGGCCCACGCAGTGAGGCGCTCAGGGGCCAGGATGAGTCAAAAATTAACATTTGTATTTATGTTTCACATTAAAAACTAATATATGATTTTTAGGAATTAATGCAACAATCGGCACCATTTTTTGATGAATATTCTATTTTTTATGATTTTCTCTACCTTTCGTCTTTGAAAAATAAAATAAAATAAAAAGAGGTCAAAACTTTCTAAAATTTTGCATACATGATCCTTACATTTTTCTGAGCATGCACGTAAAAAATGGCCACAAATTATAAAAATAAAAAACGCTGCCAAAAAGCACCTAGCTCGCGCAGTGGGGTGCGCAGGGGCTACGATGTCACGCCCCCCCAAACGGGGTGGGTGACGTGGAGCTCGATTAGGGATTAATAAAACAGATTCCCAGACCGGGCCCCACACTTAACTGCATTAAAATATAAATGAATTACATAATCCAGGAGCCTCTGACACACAGGGCTCCACCCCACAGGACATACAGTATCGTACATACATGCTAATGTAATTAATCATTACAACAGACATCAACCACAGTCTAGTAAATCCAATATTAAATAGGTTTACATAATTTCTCAAATTCCTTACATTTGTTCAAGAGGATGAACTCAATCCTCACTTGATCCAACAGTAGCAACTCCAGCTACCCTGCACCGCTCCTCGAGTCTCCTGGGAGGGGTTTAACATTTAAAACATAAAACGTGAGCGAAAGGCCCAGTAGGATATAATTTGAAATATTTAGAATAAATGAGCGCATGAATAAATAATTGAATACATAAATAAAATAAGACATTCAGTCCCGACAGAACAGCCAGAACCTCACATCCTTTTTCTCAAAGGAAATATAACTAAAAATAACCAT